CAAGCAGGGCAGAGGGACTCCCCCAGCAAAGAAAACAGATAAACCCTGCCCAGGGGGAAGGAGGATAAGAAGCCTGTGAAGCCAAAGGGGCTGGGACTGGAATAGGGGACAAACCTGGGACCCTTCCCCACTCCCCTTCTCTCCCAGTCTTGAGAAGTCCAAAAATAGGGGCAGGGGCAGTACCCTGACCCACCACACCAAGGAAAAGTGCTGGACCCACCACAATAGCATTGGCCATTTGCCACATACTGCATTAAAAATTAAACTGACTTCCTCAGATACTGTAATGCATAATTAAAACAAGACCTAACTTTCTTCCCAATTTCATCTGTACACTTCCAAGTTAGTTTTTTAACTTCATGAACTGAAAGTGCTTTCTTATTCCTTGCACACAAAGTCCCTCCCTTCTGCCTGCCCATGGTGATCTTTCCTATATTTCCATATTATCCTTTCTATTAATCTAGGTCAAGTTGCTGCTGCTGCATTTTTGGTTGCCTCCTTCAAATACTTTTCACTCCATCAGGAGAGGGAGCTAATCCAAAGGACCAAGCAACAGCTGCAGTTCTTCTAGCATTTGCAGTGCTTGCAGAGCACGCGACAGCAGCTTCATCACCAGAATGAAAGGCCTGAAGGTCACCCTGAAGTCTGGATAATTGACACTCATTGACAACATGTGCCATTGACTGCTAGAGACCACACTGACAAAGTGGGTCATCGCACAGACCTCGTGCAGAGAATGGCTGCACATATTCCTTGGCCAGTGTTCAGCAGAGTCCATAGGTGATGTGGCAGGTCAAATCCTGAAGGTCGAACTGTTGGATCAGCAACAAGGAAACCATTCCAAATGGCTTTGGCTGACCACTTATTGTGCCATAGGGCTGCTGCTGACAGATTCCGATCTGACATTTGAGACCACAATGGATGTCTCAATGTAAATTGTGCTGTAAGGTGACTGAAGATGTCCATGTACAGTGGGAGAACTGGATTGGCATGTAGCTTTTCCATCAGTCCAGCTGCAGACTCTCTGCAACGAATGTGTGGAGGAGGTAGTTACTCACAACTGGTAGCCATGGATACAGGGTGCCTGTGACGATGTGCATGGTCAAGTTCAATTTGACATCAACCAATTTAGTGTAAGGTGAATGACTCCATACAGGGGCACAGTATTTCACTGAGGAATAGCACAGTGCCAGAGCTATGCTCCATGTTGAACTGGCTAATTTGCTGATTAGATTATTTCCAGTCCTGATTTTGGCACCAGTCTTTTTTAGATGGTTGCAGTAAGTCAGAGCAGTCTGCTGTGACACCAAGGCAGACCAGTTTTCTGTTTTCTGTTGAGGTTGCTTATGTTGTGGAGGTGAAAGCTGCACAACACTGTCTTGGTCACATTTGGTTGGAGATGCCAACTGCTACAGTAGTCTGGCATCTTGGCCAGGTCAGTGTTCGTGATGTTCTCCAATTCAGTGAAACCTGCAGTATGTCATCCCTACTCTTCCCTACACAGCTATGGCTGCCAATTAAAAGGTCAGATCAAAACGTACAAGCTCCTCAGTACAGCCCTAAAAAAGCTGCAGTAATGTTACTTTGGTTATAATTTCTATCCTTTTTACTATGCTTTCTGCACTCATTTAGGACAACAGTTACCACTTCCATACTTTTTCAAAAAGGAAACTTTGATACTCACTGAAGACACAGTTAAAAGGATAAGCCTCCTTATTTCCTCTCCAAAAGTCCATTTTGTCTATAACTTGTCCATACAGGTATCTAGCAATAACCATACAGCCTGAATTATTAAAACAACTTGAAATCTTTCAATTATTACAACCAGTGCGGGGAGGAAAAACTGGATCTCTGATGACAACTATCAGCTGACCCACAAGCAAACTATTTAAGCTTCTGAGAGGAGAGCTTGAGGGTAAAGTTTAAAAAAACCATAATCAGTTCATTTGTAGCTTGTGTTAAGAAATGCCTCAGACAAACCTGTACAATATTCGATAATGGAGTATAAAAGATATTAGTGGGAAGCAATAGGACATCTCATGGAAACCTAGGATGAAGCTAGCGATGGTTTTGCAGCACCACTAGGTCTTAATGCAGAAAATGAAAGCATCATAAAAGTGGGTGAGAAATAAAGAAAATTACACTGTCTGCATTACAACACAGAATACAGTTTCCTCAAAGGCACTGAACAGAACGGATCTTTATAATTAGCTGTCCTAGTCCCTTTTTAATTCTGTATCTAAAATCTTTAATCTCATGTTAGGCTTGATAAAACTTTGTCAATAGTTTATATTTTAGACATCTAGAGCCTGACTTTAAAAAAAAAACAAACATAGGTCCTGTGCATTCATAACCCCTAATGATGTCAGTTGGATTTCGGCACCGCAGGGTGGGAGGGAGAGAAATCAGAACCTCAATATGATTATGAATTGAAAAGGGTTCACTTACTTAAGTTTGTGATTTTTTTTATATTTGAACTTTACCCCAATACTGACATTGGATTTCACACAGGTTCCAATATTTCCTAGTTTGTTTTTGACAATGAAAGGAAGGATGAATTTCTATTTTGGTGTGAATCACCAATTGTCTTAAGATGGCTGGTGCTGACGTATGTGGGTTGTTCTAGGCCTCGTGATGATTTTAACTGTCTCATTCTTGGTGTTCTGTGTTTTCAGTTTTTACCAATTTTCACCATTACCAGGTGTTTTTTTTTTATTATTATTATTAATAAAGTAGTGCAGTTTTTTCTGATTTACACCCAATTATCAATCCACTATTTTTTTTGGGTACTTACTTTGTTAAATACTAACACTTCACATGATTGTTGTGTCCTGCAGCTCTAAAATTGCATTATGGAATTGCTTTAACACACAGAACACAGTAGAAATCGGAAAAACTGAATGTTAATATCGCGCTAGGATTGGCTCACACGAAGACGCTACCCACCTATTTCTTTGCATCTGTTTAGTGTGGCGCTGAATTTAAACAATCACTCCTTCACAGATAAAAATAAGGTAAAGGGAAACATGGGGTGAAAACACAGATCTATGCCTGAATACCAACGAGAAAATCAGTGCTTAGAAATTTTCAAGAAAAGTAAAGCTGGGAGTGAAGAAGATGCATTGCGCTGTGAGTACTGCAGCATTGAGGGTCAGTGTTCATGCTGACAGAATAAAGGAGCATGTCAAAAGCAAGCAACACAAGAAGCTTGAAGAAGAAGGTGAGCTTTGGGATAAACAGTCAATATGAGGAGCTTTCACTGGGCTTTAATGAAAGGGAGAACAAAGCATGATTGTGTCAATGAATTTGTGTGTGCTTTTTGTTTTGCTGGACAATTACTGTTAATTGCAGATGGGCCTAGTGGTGACTGTCACAATACTGTCCAGCAGCAAAAGCTCTTTCTAATGCAGACATCCTCACTCATACGTACCTGAAAGAAAATGATGATGCTTTAATATGTAAACTGATGGCAATGTGGTCTCTAGTCTGATTTTTGATGCGTCTTCTGATGTGTGTGGACCATCTGATTGTTTTCGGTTTTTGATTTCAAAGCAAAATTGTTTTGTGCTGATGTGACATTCATTCCATCTACTGCCACCCATTTTGTCGACGCAGCAATAACTGACGTTTGATACGTACCAACTAACTTGGGAAAACATGGCCACAACACACACAGATTCTGCTTCCTAGATGGTTAAGTTTGCATAGGAGATTAAACTCACTCAAAAACCGGAGCTGCAACGTATTACCTGTCCTGCTCATCTGATTAATGTTGCGCTGTCAGCAGCTATTGCTACAGAAGAAATGAAAGAGTTGAAATCTTGCCTCATTGGATTCAGGGCCATTTTCAAGCATGAAAACAAGATGAAGGTTTTGTTTTCCACAGTGCAAGATGAGTGCAGAGCCGACTGCTGATTACCTACCCCTGTTGTGCCCTGTGTGGATGAGTTTGTACTTCGCTGCCGGTCATGTAAATAATGCGTCTCTAGATCATCCCAACTTTGATGGTTCTAAAGCAGAAACTCTGAAGAGACTGGCAAATAACCAGAATGACTGCCACACTCTGCATACCAAGGTAATGTTCATTGTTGAAAACTTGGAAACATTGTGTGATAACTCCAGCGTTTTCTGTGTTTCTCAGACTACTGCCAACACATGTGCCCAAACAGAGGTTTACTGGATCCTGACAACCAAAATCTCAGCTGAACTGAACACAAAAGGTGAAGGAGAAACATATGATGAGAAAACTCAGCCATTTCTGGAAATCCTTCTGACCCCAGAACACAAGAAAACCAAAAAAGCGTTCAAAACTGTCAACTCAATGCTCAGTGAGAAATGGGAGATGCCTGTGACGCATAACCTGAACCCCAAAGTGTTTGGTGCAGAAGATTCTTTTTGGAATGTCATCCAGGTGTTGCACCCCTTCCTCAAGGTGAATTTTGCAGCAAACTATGACCAGAGCGTTTGAACCATTTGCCACTAACGATAAGATTTCAAATCTAAAAGGGGAGTTTACTACTTACATGAACTTGCCTGACCCTGACAATGCGAAACTGGATGTGTGGGCTTTTTGGAACAGTCATCAAGACATACTTCCCAACTTCAGCAAAGTAGCACGGTGAGCTCTGAGTGTACCCCCGGGATTTATTGATGCAGAGTGCACATTTTCAAAATTGGATTACCTCCAAGACAGCAAGCGGCTCAATCTGAGTGAGGATACTTGGGAGAAAATTATGGAAGCATATGCAAACCAGAATACTTGGAAAACCTACTAGCTCATAGAGAGACAAAATATCCCTTTGTACATTAAAAAAAGTGTATACTGTAGTAAAATGTGTATATTACAAAAGGGTTTTTTTGTTTTTCTTTTCCCCCCCAATTTTTCTATTTTTTTATATTTTAACCCAATTTCACCCTGGTTTTATTGTTTGGAAAATAAACACTGCAAAATGCTCAGATTTTTTTTTTTAACACAAATAAAAATTGAAAATGCAGAATGCTATTCTATACAATGTAATTCTGGTTGTATTTCCATATTTGTGTGCATTTTTACAATTTAAAAATAACATTGGTTAAGTTTTTCCACTAACAAGTGTTTGCATTTTCTTATTTAAGAGCACATTTTGAGTTCACAGTAGGAGAAACGTTTTGTTTAGGGCCCATCATTTTAATGCGTTCCAAAAAGAAATTCAGTATAGTCACTTCTAAAATGTACCCTAACTAGTTATAAAGTCTAAAATTAGAAGAACTGGCCATTTGTTCATATGTGAAGTAATGCATTTCTGTATTTTTCATGCAATGGAACTCTATTTTCAGTGAATATTCTTTCTAAATGGATTATAACATACAAAACCTTTTTTTTGGAAAAGGGTGATTAATATTAACCAGCCCTCAAAAATCTAGAGTTTTCACTGCAATCTACTAAAAATATTTAACAAATGCATAAAAATGCCTGGACAGTATATTCATCTCCATGACAATAATTTGTGCTCCAACTACATTTTTACTGTACTAAAAACAAACCCTATCCCCTTCCACAAAAAACAAAAAAACAAACCACATCCAGAACTAAATTGTTCAGTTTGTTTCCTAAAAACTCAAAATGAAGATTCTTCAGTGTTCTGTTCATCTGTTCCAGTTCAGCTGTTTTATCTTCTTAATTTATTTCTCTAGTTTCAATTAATGCTTTGACTAATGTTTCAATATTGATTTCTGGTGAAGGAAAAAAGAAAAAATCTTTAAATTATTTATTCATTTTTATGCAACTTTGCATAAATGCATATATCAGATACCACGTTAAAAATTAGAGATTTAGCTTTCCTAATTTCCTTAACTAACTTTCCTAATTCTAATATAGTCGAATAGTCTGCATTATCGGTCCGGCAAATTCACCAACATGATGATTGGCCCCAGTTATATATTAATTCAGTTCTGCCTTAAATGTTCTAGAAATACATTTCATAAAATGGAATATTTTTCTACTATTTAAAACAAACTGCAATTCATAATGCTTATTTGTGTAGATACCAAAGCAAAATAATGTGACAAATTACCATCTCAACAGCAGTCAGAATCAATATCAAACTGTCTGTTTAAATATTTTACTAGTAAAAAAATTATCTCCAAGTGTGTTTGACACACATTTTGCATGTCTCTCTACTATTATCGCCAATGCTAGATTTCCCCCAATCCAATTATTTGTACTCAGTCTCTCTTTAGCAGCCACTCTTGTCTGAAGCAAACTGGCTGCTTTATGACAGGTTTCAGAATAACAGCCGTGTTAGTCTGTATTCTCAAAAAGAAAAGGAGTACTTGTGGCACCTTAGAGACTAACCAATTTATTTGAGCATAAGCTTTCGTGCATCCGATGAAGTGAGCTGTAGCTCACGAAAGCTTATGCTCAAATAAATTGGTTAGTCTCTAAGGTGCCACAAGTACTCCTTTTCTTTTTGGCTGCTTTATGAAATTTGAAACCTGGACAGCCAGATGGCCCAGACCAAAGCTCTCTTCCCCCACCCCCCAAATGCATAGAATCATAGAAATCAGGGTTGGAAGGGAACTCAGGACATCATCTAGTCCAACACCCTGTTCAAAGCAGGACCAATCCCCAACTAAAATTAGGTAGGATTCTCTCCCATTTCATAACATCACTTTCCCACAACCACATCACCAAAACAATTACATCAGTCCTCAGAAGAGTTAAACTGAGCTCCCTTCAGAGCAATATTAATGCCAATCTTGAGCTGCAAATGTGATGTTGAGGGAAGTCAACCCAAAAGCAACCCTCACAACTGAACAAGCCATGTCAGCCCTCTGCACAGTTTGAACCTTTGACTACTGCTTCGTAGCACTTCAAACTACAAACTAGATCAACAAGTCTTTACTAAGCTTAAAATCTTTACAATCTTACTTTGAAGTGCTGGATAATATGGAGTCAGCTGCTTGAGCATTCTGGTCATTGTAGGTACATCCTTTCCTCGAAGTCTATGCAGAATGTTGGGAGTAAGACCACTGGCATTTTCATCAAACATCTTATCTGACTCTCTGTCTTGTTGTTGGCAATCTCTGTATGAATTGTGGACAGAAGAGGAGGAACGAAATGAGGTCGAATCAGTCTTGAAATTTGATTTCTGGTATCTCAATTCTTCTGACCAACTAGAACCACCTCTTGATGAAGAAGTGGAATTTGCAGACCCACTCCTGTAGTAAGACGAACAGCCTTGTAAAGGATAGTTTGTTGAATATCCTCCAGATGAAGGATATGTAGCAGAGGAAGCAGAATAGGTTGATCTCTGGTCAGGTAAATTCCTTGTATTTGTAAATGCTCTTTGACTCTTCCAGTTTGTACCTCCAACACCATAAGCCATTCTGTTATCAGGTGCTGTAGTTTTGTTTCCTTGGGCACTATTAGACTTGTATTCTGTTGAATACCCACTTCCTGAATATGTGAAGTAGGGAGAGGTGCCTCCAACTGAAGTGGACTGGGAGGATACAGAAGCAGATTGGTTGAATTGCTTCAGCCATTCATTGATTCCAGTAGCAAAGCCTCCCGTCTGAAGGGCAAATGAATTACTGAGTGCAGCCATTGTTGCAGAATCATTAGGTCTTAGTCCATATGAGGATGATCCATCACCTGGTTGGTAACTGTATGAACTGGCAGTGGTGAATGAAGGGTTTGCATCTAATTGTGATGTAAATTGTGCCTGTTCAGGTCTTTGAGACGAAAAATCTTGATTCCAGTTAGTATTTCCTGAAAAGAAACATGCAGGTAAACTTAAATAAAATGACAGAAAGGCCAGCAGCAGAAGTTGGTCAAACTTAACTAAGCCCATGGCGGGGAGGGTGGGTGGTAATCTGGAAGTTTACCCCCTTTGTATTTTAGGATAGTATTTAAATTATTAAAAACCACTTATGTGTCTCACCACCTACTGGGTGGGCAAAATGTTAAACCACCACCATCAGTTGCCTTTTCACCAGGTTTGTAAAAAAATGTTAATATAATTAATGAAGGAAAGTGGGTGAATGATTCTGACTCAAAAATAGTTAAATCACTTAAGTCACAAATATTTGAATTAAACACACTACCTTCACAGGAGAGAGAGAAGCATTTTCCTAAGCTGTTCTCTGAAAGTAGTTCTCGGTTGTGCCCCAGTACCTAATTACTTGGCCTGGTCCACACACCATTTCTGTACAGGTATAACTATCCAGTTAGGTTTGTGGGTTTGTTATATCAGTACAACCCCAATGTGGACACCGTTCTATCCGTATAAGGGTGTCTGAAATTGTACAGCTTACTCCCCTCTTCCCTTTTAATATTATTCACCTTTATTCTGGTATAACTTAATCCATGCTAGGGTTTTCTACCACTTCAACTATTCCAGTACACTTAAAGCAGTAACATTTATATGTGTAGGCAAGCCCTTGCACAGAATGACTGAAGACAGCAATAGTTACAGACACAAGAGTACAATGTGTCAAAAGAATGTTTTTAAAATTTAAAGACCGTTTTAATAGTATACTCATGTACGAGTCTGAACACTAAGGGTAGCATGAATGTACCACCAATGGATAGACAGCATATACTAATGAAGTTTCTGACATTTCCTACAAAGAAGTTTAGTTCTAGATAAGGAATCTAGGTGGCAAAGATTCCCAAACAGGTAACAGCCAGCGAGTCCAAAAACAAACAAAAAAACAAAAAGACGCAAATCCATGAAAATAAGCTGTGACTGTGTGCCTCACCAACTAATAGTATTGTGCTCAAATGAAGGATAACACAAATGTTAAAGTGCCTGAAAAACAGTTATAATCTGAAGACACTGAAGGTAAAAAAAAAAACAACAAAAAGGTATCTGCCTCTCAGCCACCACGTTTAGAATGTATGTCCAAGATGAACCTCAGAAGGGAGTAGATGAAACTAACACAGCACTTTGTCAGGTTTACTTTTCTCATGTCACTTTAGGCCAGTTTAGAAACTGGAATGCCAAAAATATTTAACGCAATTATTATGGAGATTTTCAGTGCTCAGCCTTTCTATTGTTTGCAGAATCTGCTTCCTCAGTGAGGTCTACATACTTGGGGACTGGATTTCCAAAAGTGCTTAGGGCTGGCCTCATTGTTCCCACTGAAGTCAGTGGTAAAACTCCAAGAGTTGTTAACATCTGTTTTAACTCAAATTACTAACATTCTGATAAAGAGGAGGTCTTTGTCTTAGAAATATCAGGAATGTCACTGTTCTTTTGAAGGGGAGGCTGTTGCATTTAAAGTGGAAAAAAAAGAAGGAAGGAATTTTACAAAAGTAAAACCTTTACAACATAATGAATAAAATATTGATACAAGCCTGATTTAAAATATTTTTTGCAGCTCATCTTTGAGAATTTTCTTCTTGGCTTTAAGCAATATCCTGTTTTCACAGAGCTTTTGAGAATCTGCTAAAATTCTAACTTTTCTCCAATTTCTATTAACCTTCTCACTTTGCCTATTTAACCAAAATGCTTCAAGTTTCAAATCTATTTTTTTCTAGCTAATTATATGCATCAGACATTGAAATTTTGCTGCTTTATTCACTTCATTTATAGAATCACAGAACTGGAAGGGACCTCAAAAGGTCTTTTAGTCCAGTCCCCCGTGTGACACTGTATGGAATCTCGGGGACAGTTTAGGATATTATGAATACCAATATTGTAAAATTGCCATGAGTTATGCCAGATATGCCGGGTAAGGTTATCTGCAAAAATGTTATAACTTGCCACGTATGATAATCTCGTTTATGTGTTTATATCACCTTTGTATTGTAAATTATATGTATGGTACGTCTGTAGTTCCAAACTTGTGCTATGCATCTGGGTAACACACCCAGACAGATTGGTATTAGCACTGCCTAGCCTGTTTGACAGCCCATTAAGGGACATCAGCAATACAACTGACAGAAGGCAAGGTATATGAATCAGCAAGGCATGCACGGACATGCTTAAGAAGAGAACTCTAAGAGGCCTTTCAAAGTCATGTGCTCTCTGCTATGAATGTGTTCGAAATAAAGGAAGTACCTGACATATGGCAAAAAGACTATAAAAGGCAGCTGCATCTTCTCCATTTTGTCTTCAGTTCTGCTTCTTGTCCTCAGTCCTGCTTCTTACCCCTGGAGTAACCTTCCTACAAACTTCTGAAGCTCTGAACAAAGGACTGAATGACCCATCCAAGTTGTGGATGTGTCCAGCGGGACTTTCAAGCCAGCAAACTCACTAATACTGCTAGGGACTGGATGGACTTTAAAGTCATTGTATGTGAGTGTTTTACCATTTAACATCTCTCTTTTTCTTTTTTCTTTATAATAAACCTTTAGCTTTAAGCACTAAAGGATTGGCTAGTATTTTGGGTAAGATCCAAACCTACACTGATCTGGCAATGTGGCTGACCCTTTGGGGTCAGAAGAACATTTTGTATATGTGAGCAGAGTTTTTTAAGTAACTTCTCACTGTACTGGACCTAGGTGCTGACTGGGAGCCAGAAAACTGGAATGCAATAAGGGGGCTGTGAGATTCCTTTTTTGCTTCTTGATAACTAGTGTGGGGGGTCAGAAGCACAGTTTGTTACTGGTTGGGGAGTTTAACTTCAATGTTACCCACCAGTCTCGGGAGTACCTGTTCTCCCTTTTGCAGCCTGCCCTGACCTTGGCATTTCCAGTGAGGGCTGCCCCAGGCACACCGGGTCAGACCCTGCACTCAAGGCAGGACTAAGTATTATCTAGACCATCCCTGCCAGGTGTTTGTCTAATCTGCTTGAAAATCTCCACTGACGGAGATTCCACAACCTCTCTAGGAAATTTCAGTGCTTAACCACCCAGACAGTTAAGAAGTTTTTTCTAATGTCCAACCTAAACTGCCCTTGCTGAAATTCAAGCCCACTGCTTCTTACCCTATCCTCAGAGGTTAATGAGAACAATTTTTCTTCCTCCTCCTTGTAACAAACTTTTATGTATTTGAAAATTGTTATGTCCCCTCTCAGTCTTCTCTTTTCCAGACTTAACAAACCCAATTTTTCAATCTTCCCTCACAGGTCATGTTTTCTAGACCTTTAATGATTTCTGTTGGTCTTCTCCGGACTTTCTCCAATTTGTTCACATCTTTCCTGAAATGTGGTGCCCAGAACTGGACACAATACTCCAGTTAAGGCCTAATGAGCACGGAGTAGAGCAGAAGAATTATTTCTTGTGTATTGCCTATAACACTCCTGCTTGCAGCCCAGAATGATGTATTCTTTATTTGCAATGTTACACTGTTGACTCTTATTTAGTTTGTGATCCATTATGACCCCCAGATCCCTTTCCACAGTACTCCTTCCTAGGCAGTCATTTTATATGTGTGCAACTGATTGTTCCTGCCTAAGTGAAGTATTTTGCATTTGTCCTTATGGAATTTCATCCTATGTACTGCAGACCATTTCTCCAGATCATTTTGAATTTTAACCCTATCCTCCAAAGCACTTGCAACCCCTCCCAGCTTCGTATCATCCGCAACATTTGTAAGTGTACTCTATATGCCATTATCTAAATCATTGATGACGATATTAAACAGAACTCGACCCAAATCCAATCCCTGAGGGACCCCATTTGATGCATCCTTCCAGCTTGACTGTGAACCACTGATAACTACTCTCTGGGAAGAGTTTTCCAACCAGCTATGCACCTACCTTATAGCAGCTCCATCTAAACTGTATTTCCCTAGTTTGTTTATGAGAAGGTCATATGAGACAGTATCAAAAGCCTTACTAAAGTCAAGATATACCACACCTACCACTTCCCCCCATCCACAAGACTTGTTAGTCTGTTAAAGAAAGCTATTAGGTTGGTTTGACATGATTTGTTCTTGACAAATCTATGCTGACTGTTATTTATCACTTTATTATCTGTTAGGTATCCGCAAACAGATTGCTTAATTATTTGCTCCATTATTTTTCGGGGTACTGAAGTTAAGATGACTGGTCTGTAATTTCCAGGGTTGTCTTTATTCCCTCTTTTATAGATTAGGACTATAATTTTCCTCTTTTCCAGTCCTCTGGAATCTCTCCCATCTTCCATGACTTTTCGAAGATAATTGCTAATGGCTCAGATGTCTCCTAAGTCAGCTCCTTAAGTAGTCTAAGATGTATTTCATCAGGTGCTGGTGACTTGAAAACATCTAACTTGTCTAAGTAATTTCTAACTTGTTCTTTCCCTATTTTAGCCTCTGATCCTACTTCATTTTCACTGGCATTCACTAAGTTAGATATCCAATTGTTAAACTTTTTAGTGAAAACTGAAACAAAAAAAATCATTTGGCACTTCTGCCATTTCCACATTTTCTATTATTCCCCCTCCCCCACCCATTGAGTAACGGGCCTACCTTGTCTGGTCTTCCTCTTGCTTCTGATGTATTTGTAGAATGTTTTCTTGTTACCCTTTATGTCTCTAGCTAGTTATCACATTTTGTGCCTTTGCCTTTCTAATTTTTGTCCCTACATACTTGTGTTATTTGTTTCTTTTCATCCTTCGTAATTTGATCTAGTTTCCATGTTTTATAGGATTCTTTTTGGAGTTTTAGATCACTGAAGATCTCCTGGTTAAGCCAGGGTGGCCTCTTGCCATGCTTCCTATCTTTCCTATGCAATGGGATAGTTTGCTTTTATGCCATGGAATCAGTCCCAGAATTCCCTTTACAAATCAGACTGTTCTTCAGGTGGACGTGCAGGTTGGTACAGCACCACTCCACTTGTATTTGTTTGATGTAGTGGCTGACCCATACGTAATTTCTTTTTTTTGCCAAAATGGTTTAATAATACTTTAGAGCAGGTCACAAGCTGGGAGGCATGCATCTTACTCTGTGCCCTTAGTGGTTCCAGACGATTTATTTCTGCTCACTGGAAAATATGTCAGACCAACCCCTCACTGAAGAAACCCTCTCATCAAAGCCAGAAGATGACAGCTCTGGCACCGCCTGTTAATCTCAGCTACTCTGGCACCACCCAATGAGATGGGCAGGTCCTCAGGTGGTCAGTACCAGAATCAGGAAGGATTTAACAGATTAAAACCCCAAACTCCTTGAATTGAACCAGACAACAAATGGAAATCACAGAGCACTTCTAAAGCACAGCATTCTAGTGGCAGAGTAGCATGACTGGGCAGAAGTTTAAGTCCTCAAACATCATGTTCTGTGAATTCAAATCCACTTTATAAATAATATTTCGGCAAAAACACCCTGCAAAGTACCTGAATTGCCTTTGTAATTTTCACAAGACTTATAGGGTTTTTGGATGTTTTTTCCTGCTGAAAGCTCATCTTGAGATATTGACATCAATGGCCTCAGGCTGCTGGCATAATTGACCTAGGGGAAAAAAAATAGCGCACCTCATGATATTTGTTCTAAAAATTTACATTTCATTTCCAACATTTCAAAAATAGCAACTTTTCCCATAGCATGCCAATAAATGTTCACTGGCAATGCTATTTTTAAGCAATGAATCCTATGTTTTGCTGTGCTGCTCAAGTTTGCTCCCTATTTTTCTCCCAACTATCAATGTGAGGAACAATGACTTCCTCCCATTTGACCTGGGTTTTGAATTAGCCATTAATCTGAGTAAAATCAACCTCAAATACACAAGTTAGGCCTTTGAGCTTTCTCTCTCTCTCATGCATACACACCCACGCCTTATGATACCTGTTTATCAAAAGGTGCCGAGTGCTAACAAAATGAAAGCCAACCAACCATACTTACCATTTGGCTAGTATTAATACATTCTAGTTTTGACAGTGCTCATGTTTTTTTCCTTGAAAGACTTCAGTGATTATTTTCCTTATTCCCCTCTTCCTTCTCCAGTTACTGTACAGGTTTTCAAAACTTTGTTATATTTTAAAATAATATTCATGGCAATGTCATGGGTGAACATCTGAATTTCATGGGATATGCATGGCTGCTGAGTCCCCCCAGAACCAAACTGCTTCGATTTTTCCAACAGTGAGGAGGCTGTTCGGGCGAGGGGGGGGAAGGGGGAGCAGGCCAGTCCCAAGCCTGTGGGGAAAGCAGAGATGGTGGGCAAGTCCTAATCCAAGGAAACGAGGGGTGGCAGGCAGGCAGCATGTCTCACCACACGGTGCTTACTGATCTGACCCAGCCCAGCATGAGGCAAGGACCAGAGCCTGGCTCACTCTGCATGCAGCTCCAGGCCAGGCTACTGCATAGTGATTAGGAGCCTCAGTGTGGCCCACACACCAGTGGCCCCTGCAGGTCCCGGGAAAAAACTGAAGCTCCAGCTGGTGAGAAACTGAGACCACGATCCATCCACTCTATCCTCCTGCCAGGGCAGGGCCCTTCACACACCTGCTCCTGTTCCAAGCAGTGGCCGCACAGCTAAGACGTTGGTTACGGCGGAGGGATGGATCCTGGTCTCAGGTCCTGCAGTGTCTCCCTCGGGACTGCAGGAGCCATGGTCTGTAGGCAGGCCAGGCTCCCAACCACTGCGTTGCCAGAGCCAGCCCTTCCTCCCCCTCCCAACAGCCAGACAGGAAGCAGCAACCTTGGCGGGAGCCAGACAGCGTGAACTGGGCCAGACCATCTGGAGCCATATAATGAGACACATCCCCACCCCAGCCAATCCCCTCCCATGCAGAATAGGACCAACCCACCACCTCCCTGCCCCCCTCCAGAATGGGACCAGTCTGCTAACCCGCCACGAGCAGCCGTGGTCTCAATAGGGAGAAAGCAGGGATGCGTGCTTCTGCCTCTCTGCTGTTGAAAGTCACAATACAAGGCTAATTTCACAAGTTCCATGAAACCATGATTTTCACTGATCCCTATATATAAGCAGATAGAAACAGAAGAGCAACCAGCCTAGATGTCTCTACTACAGTCTGCTGATATATGAGAAGAAGAAGCAGAAGCTGTCCTCATGGCTCAAAGCCTCAAGCAGGAACAGAGCTACATGCCACCAATGAGAACTGTCCACATGTCCAGGGGAGAAAAGAATGAAGTAATGTCACTTGGGGGGAAAACACCAAGTGGTTGAGTTAGTTCCCTTATATCTTGGATATATACGTAGCAGGAAAGCAGTGTGGTGGGAGAACAATTAGTCAACATGTAAGCATGTGCTGAAGGAGGTAAAGGAGGCCAACTGCAGAGATGCACATGCAGAGGGGAGAAAAACAGGACAAAATGGGACATGGAAAAGAAATTTACAGGGAAAAAACAATGCAATTAACTTCTCAACACCAAGCACACTTATACTAAAAGACAGCTACTTATATTTATTTTCTAATTTCTGTGCCAATTGCCATAATTGTTGCAGGGACGTTACATGATTATGAATGGGAGGAGTGGGTAAACAAATGGGAAAACCCTTGCAACAGAACACGACAATATAGAACTAGTCATTGAAGTAGACCGATTACTTACAGCTGCTTTCTTTTTACAAAAGGTCTTCAAAGCTTCTGTCAGATCTTGTGTAATACTAACTACCAGAGTTGCTTCTGTGTCTGAGGTGACCCGAAAAGTTTCCTGTCAAATTAAAAATAAGCACACATTCAAAAAGGTTAATTAAGTTTCAAACAATAATTAAAGAATACTTATCTCAAATACTCAACTGGACTTCCCCAAGGAGATCATAAGTTTTGGGAAACAGATGCAAAATAGATGGATTCAAATGAAGTTCTATGACCAACTCGAGCAAAAAATTAAGGAAATGAGATTTATACAAGCAGCTAGAAGAAAAGGAGTACTTGTGGCACCTTAGAGACTAACCAATTTATTTGAGCATAAGCTTTCGTGAGCTACAGCTCACTTCATCGGATGCATACTGTGGAAACTGCAGAAGACATTATATACACAGAGACCATGAAACAATACCTCCTCCCACCCCACTCTCCTGCTGATAATACCTTATCCAAAGTGACCACTCCCTTACAATGTGTATGAAAATCAAGGTGGGCCATTTCCAGCACAAATACAGGTTCTCACCCCCCCCCCCCTTTTTTCAAAAACCACACACACAAACTCACTCTCCTGCTGGTAATAGCCCATCCAAAGTGACCACTCTCCTTACAATGTGTATGAAAATCAAGGTGGGCCATTTCCAGCAGGAGAGTGAGTTTGTGTGTGTATGGGGGTGGGGGGTGAGAAAACCTGGATTTGTGCTGGAAATGGCCCACCTTGATTACCATACACATTGTAAAGAGAGTGGTCACTTTGGATGGGCTATTACCAGCAGGAGAGTGAGTTTGTGTGTGTGGTTTTTGAAAAAAGGGGGGGGGGGGTGAGAACCTGGATTTGTGCTGGAAATGGCCCACCTTGATTTTCATACACATTGTAAGGGAGTGGTCACTTTGGATAAGGTATTATCAGCAGGAGAGTGGGGTGGGAGGAGGTATTGTTTCATGGTCTCTGTGTATATAATGTCTTCTGCAGTTTCCACAGTATGCATCCGATGAAGTGGGCTGTAGCTCACGAAAGCTCATGCTCAAATAAATTGGTTAGTCTCTAAGGTGCCACAAGTCCTCCTTTTCTTTTTGCAAATACAGACTAACACGGCTGCTACTCTGAAACCTGTCATCATACAAGCAGCTGAAAGCCCTGGCCAGTGGATGGTGTAATTTGTGAAGTTGTGTGTACAGAAAAGCAAAAAAAGGGTTGAGAACTTACAAACTGGATGCTAACAGGCCTCAAATCCCAGTGATGGCTGAACCAGATGATAATCTAAATAAAGAGGGTTCTCATCCACACTGGTAGCTGTTTCCACTGCCTCAGACATTTTAGGATTCAGATTGAGATTCCTGGAATCTTGTTATATAGATGGGGCAAAATGGCATAAAAGAGTGGGAGAGCAGCCAGAGAGCACCACAGTAAAAACCAAAAAGGCAGGATGAAGCAGGTGTTTGAGCCTCTCTCCAAATTTTTTTTTTTAAAGAAAATAGTTAAGTAACCTTTTCTTCTCAGAGCTTCAAAATACAGACTAGACACTTACCTAAACAAATTACAAGCCACAATTAATCATGAACATTCTCCTTGCAAAGCATTTTAGACATTAAAACATGATTAAAAACTACTACAGCAGCTAATGTTAAAATCTCTACTACAAAAAGCAGAGATATCAGGCTCTATTTCTTTGAACCCTGAACCAGTTCAAATTCAAGTTCCAGTGTACGATGTTCTGGGCAACAGCAAGCAGCAAAGGATTTATTTATACTGCAGCTGCCCACTCTTTAAGATTTGGTGAAATAAGATGTGAAGAAATATGACTTGAAAAGTAGGAATTACTGATCAAGTTTATTCATACTCTTCCCAGTGATTCATGCAAGATTTGTTCTTTCTGCAGTGGTGCAAATCCAGTGTTAAAACGTAGCAAAATCCTGGCAAAAGTACTTTTTTGTACATACCAAGTATTCTAGGGCTTTCTGCTTTCGAACTGGATCATTCTGTAGGGGGGAAAAACCACCACAAGGACTGATTACAGTGTTTATATATATTCTTCTGCAAAACATCATAAAATATAACAACCAAATGCTTGAGGGAAGAAAGTATTTTACAGCAATTGTAATCTTAGGTCCTTATTGCTTGTATATACAGTAACAACTGCAATATTTCCATTTTGGACTATGTAAATTTCAAAATTAAGACAGACTTCAGTTCCCAAGATATAGAGTTCCTGAAAATCCTCTTCACTTTCAGCAATTACCTTTCTGTTCTCACGTTGACCATAAGAGAACAGGTCTTTTACTGTTAAATATTTAACATTTTATTTCAAATGTTACAGCTATTGATAAATTGATATTCTTAAGGTGAATTGCTAATAGGATTTACTTTACCCTTAACATATATCATATAAGGATAATCAAAGCACCTTACAAAAAAAAAATAAAAAATTAGCACCTGTGAGGGATAGAAGTAATTATGCCTATTTTATAGACGGAAGTGAGGTTGAGAGGCTTGTGCATGGTCAGTGTGTCAGTGGATGAATTAGGACTCCGGGTCTCTAGTCTGAACATCCAATTGCACAAGTTTAACTAAAGGTACATATACCAAAGCAAGATACAGTTATATGAGACTGTTCTAAAACAATATAAATGTTTCCACAAAAGAGTTTGCATTAGGGTTGCCAACTTTCTGATTGCACAAAACAGAACACACTTCCCCCATCCTCTTCCCTGAGGCCCCACCCCTATCCCAAGGCCCCTCCCCAACTCACTCCATCCCCTGCTCTCACCCACTCTAGCTCATTTTCACTGGACTGGGCCAGGGGGTTGGGGTGTGGGTGCTGGGGGTGAGCCAGAGCTGAGGGGTTTGCGGTGAGGGCTCTGGCTGGGTGTACAGCCTCTGGGCTGGCGCTGAGGATGAGGGGTTCAGTGTGTAGGAGGGGGCTCTGGGCTGGGGCAGGAGGTTAGGGTGCGGGGGGATGAGGACTCCAGCTGAAGGTGTGGACTCTGAGGTGGGATGGGGGATGAGGAGTTTGGGGTGCAAGAGGGGGCTCTGGGCTGGGTCCGAGGGGTTTGGAGTGCAGGAGGGGGCTCAGGCCTGGGACATGCAGTTGGTGTGCGGGCTCTGGGAGGGAGCTGGGGTGTGGGAGTGGACTCAGGGCTGGTGGAGGAGGTTCGGGGTGCGGTGCAGGCTCTGGGCAGCACTTACCTGAGGCGGTTCCTGGAAGCAGTGACATGTCCTCTGGCTCCTAGGCGCAGGGGCGGCCATGAAGGCTCCGTGCACTGCCCTAGCCCGCAGACACCACCCCTGCAGCTTCCACTGACCGTGATCTCAGCCAATGGGAGCTGCGGGGCCAGTGCTCGGGGTGGGGACAGTGCGCGGAGCCTCCGTGGCTGCCCCTGAGCATAGGGGCCGCAGGGACACACTAGCCGCTTCCAGGAGACACACGGAGCCAGGGCAGGCAGTGAGCCTGTCTTGGTCCCGCTGCACCTTCGACTGGACTTTTAATGGCCCTGTCAGTGGTGCTGACTGGAGCCACCAGGGTCCCTTTTTGACTGGGCGTCTGACAACCCTCGTTTGTATGCGTTTAACTAGATCAGTTTTTTAAATGTACAAGAAAGCTGCAACTGAAGAGAAGTCTAGTGGTGAATCCAAAGCTTAACAAGTGATACCAAGCCATGATGGAGAGGGAAGATGTCATATTCAAGTGTGGAATTTCTTATAATGTGTGAATATCTTCCTCCTGGAGTCAGTTTCTTCCCTGATGAGACACTGTGCCTTGATAGCTCTCATGGCACTGGCAGTTCTTCTTCGAGTAGTCTCCCTATTGGTGCTCCACTGTAGGTGTGTATGTGCCCCCGCGCCTCAAATAGGAGATTTTTGGTAGCAGTGTCCAGTTGACCCCGCCCATGTGCCCTCCCCTCCCTTGTGGTCTGCCTCAAGGCTATTTAGCACTGCATGGTTGAACCCCCCTGCACTTCCTTCTCAACCGCCTTTGGCCTCAGACAGAATGAACAGTTGTCCCTTCCTTATCTGTGTCATTAGCATAAGTAGTGTTTGTTTTGTTACCTTTGTTCTCCTTAAAAGGAGTTAGGCTAGTGTTTATTTTATTTTATTCCTTTGCGTTAAAAAGAAAGAGAAAAAAAAAAAGAACTTCAGTTTCGTGCCCTGTCTGGGGGCATTCCCCCCCAGCATCTAGTAGACTTTTTTTAACTGAAAATAAAAAATTAAGTAAAGACAAGGTTCTCCAGCATTCCTCCCTCCTAGAGGATGACAACCACCTGCCCAGGGGCATGCCTGGCGCTCTCTGCTCCAAGCGGTGCCTCTCCTGCCAGGAGTCAGTTCCTGTAATGGCCAGACACTCTCGCTGTGCCTGGGAAAGCCTCACAGAAGTGCTTTACCTGCCACAGCTAAAACGGCAGCCTCACAGGAGCTGAGAGCTGAAGTTAAAACTCCTCCTTTTGGAGAAAACACTTCAGTCTGCAGGGGACTCTGGTGGGTGCTGACCTGGGATCATCCCCAGAGCCTTCACTTCAAAAGGGGTCGAGTTGTGAAGAGGAAGAGGAGGAGAAGAAGAAGAGGGGGGGTGGGGAGGAAGCCACCAGCAGACTCCCCCTGGAAAGGCTCATAAAAAGAGCTCCTCTGACCAACTGGCCAGCCAGAGGGGTTCCCCAGTGCGGCCATCTCGGCACCAATCCAAAAATATGCATTCCTAATAGTTGGCCAGCAGGTGGGGCTCCCCTGAGCAGCCACCTCGGTAGGAGGACACTAGCAGCTCTGAAGCATGGCACTGATAAGGGGCCGCCTGCTGTGAGCTCTGCTGCGGCACCGTGGGCACCATCCACACTGCAGCTCTGAAGCAGGCACCTGAGAAGGGGTCTCCTGCGGTGAGCTCTGTTGCGGCACCGTCCCCCCGGCACCGTCCCCAAGGGGCTTCCGTAGTCAGGCTCTCAGGAAACGGTACCGCCCCCTAAGGAAAGGGGACAATTACTGAATCATCTCTAAAACAGCGCCACAGAGAAACCCTTTGGTACCACGTGCAACAAAACTCCCATCTAGGAAGTGTTCTGCACCTTCCCAACCATCGACACTGACAACATGTTACAGACACTCCTCTGTGGTACCACCTGAGCCCATGGTAACACACGTGCTCTGGTACTCTGGAGACCTGTGGCCTCAGTACCCAGGGAGAGAGAATTACAGTACCATCTCTAAAATAGTGCTGCCAACAAACTTTCTGTACTGGGCACAACAAAACTCTCATTTAGGGAGTGCTGTGCCCAATTATCAGTACTGACAACATAGAATCATAGAATATCAGGGTTGGAAGGGACCCCAGAAGGTCATCTAGTCCAACCCCCTGCTCAAAGCAGGACCAATTCCCAGTTAAATCATCCCAGCCAGGGCTTTGTCAAGCCTGACCTTAAAAACCTCTAAGGAAGGAGATTCTACCACCTCCCTAGGTAACGCATTCCAGTGTTTCACCACCCTCTTAGTGAAAAAGTTTTTCCTAATATCCAATCTAAACCTCCCCCACTGCAACTTGAGACCATTACTCCTCGTTCTGTCATCTGCTACCATTGAGAACAGTCTAGAGCCATCCTCTTTGGAACCCCCTTTCAGGTAGTTGAAAGCAGCTATCAAATCCCCCTCATTCTTCTCTTCTGCAGGCTAAACAATCCCAGCTCCCTCAGCCTCTCCTCATAACTCATGTGTTCCAGTCCCCTAATCATTTTTGTTGCCCTTCGCTGGACTCTCTCCAATTTATCCACATCCTTCTTGAAGTGTGGGGCCCAAAACTGGACACAGTACTCCAGATGAGGCCTCACCAATGTCGAATAGAGGGGAACGATCACGTCCCTCGATCTGCTCGCTATGCCCCTACTTATACATCCCAAAATGCCATTGGCCTTCTTGGCAACAAGGGCACACTGCTGACTCATATCCAGCTTCTCGTCCACTGTCACCCCTAGGTCCTTTTCCGCAGAACTGCTGCCTAGCCATTCGGTCCCTAGTCTGTAGCTGTGCATTGGGTTCTTCCGTCCTAAGTGCAGGACCCTGCACTTATCCTTATTGAACCTCATCAGATTTCTTTTGGCCCAATCCTCCAATTTGTCTAGGTCTTTCTGTATCCTATCCCTCCCCTCCAGCGTATCTACCACTCCTCCCAGTTTAGTATCATCCGCAAATTTGCTGAGAGTGCAATCCACACCATCCTCCAGATCATTTATGAAGATATTGAACAAAACCGGCCCCAGGACCGACCCTTGGGGTACTCCACTTGATACCGGCTGCCAACTAGATATGGAGCCATTTATCACTACCCGTTGAGCCCGACAATCTAGCCAGCTTTCTACCCACCTTGTAGTGCATTCATCCAGCCCATACTTCCTTAACTTGCTGACAAGAATACTGTGGGAGACCGTGTCAAAAGCTTTGCTAAAGTCAAGAAACAATACATCCACTGCTTTCCCTTCATCCACAGAACCAGTAATCTCATCATAAAAGGCGATTAGATTAGTCAGGCATGACCTTCCCTTGGTGAACATACCAGGGACACTCCTCTTTGGTACCAGATGAACCCATGGTACTGCATGAGCTCTGGTACCCTGGAGACCTGATGATTGGGGAAGAACTGCAATCCCCATTACTTGGTACCAGGACCCCGGTATCGAGCACATCCCGGCACCCAGAATCGCTCTTGGCACTGAGCTGTATGTATACTGCCAATACCCCAGTCAGCGCCACCCTTACCCACTGAAGAATCTGACACTGGCCAGGAGGAGATCATTTCCCTGGCCCTCATTGTGGCCCACTGTCACATTACAAGAGTCCACCACAATTCCATCAATCGTGGTGTGGGCCCCCTGAGGTAAGCCCACTGCCCATGCCCCCCTTCCTCCCTCACCCCCCCCAAGGTCATATTGTAATTCTTGGGCGACGTACAAACATGTCACGACCATCCCTGGTGTCTCTCAGGGCGAGTCCACCAGATGGGACAGCCTGGCTGTCCAGAGCACCTGAGTCAGCACAGGAGGAAGCTTTTTCAGAACAGGAAGAAGAACCTGAAGAGGAAGCTCCCCCTCCAGCACACTTCTCCTCATCTCTCCCAGATAAGGCTGTGCTGCCCACCCCTCATCACTAGGTGAAGATTTTAAGAACTTTCTGGACCATACCAAGAGAGTGGCAGATGAGCTGCAGATTCCCCTACAGGAGGTGGCAGGTACATATCACAAGTTGGTGGAAATTCTGCATACCACCTTCTCATCTAGAATTGTCCTCCCAAATAATGAGGCAATTCTAGATCCTACTAAAGTCATCTGGCAGACACCAGCTTCCATCGGACCATCCAGCAACAGAGTGGTAAAAACCCAAACCAACCAACCAAACAAAAAACAAAAAAACCCTACATCTCTACCCAAAGAGGCAGACTTTGTTTTCAACATCTGCAATCCAATTCCATCATAGTGGAGGTGGTTAATGCACGAAGCAAGCAACATGATGTCAACTCCATACGATCACGCTTGGCAAGATGGCATATTCATCGACAACATTACTGTTTAGAGTAATAAATTACCAGACTGTCATGGCCAAATACAATTTTATTAATTATGGGAAACCCCATCTGTTTCTGGAACATTACCGGAAACACAAAAAGAACAGATTCAAACCATTCTTAGAGATGGTCAGTTAATAGCCAGACTGTTACCAGAGACAGCACTGGATGTAGCTGTTACAGCTGCCCACCCAGTCTCCATGACAGTGGTACTGAAGCGGGCTGTGTTGTGGTTGGGTTATTTTGGCTACACCTCTCCAGACTGCCCAAAGAGCTACAGACTTCCAGTTTGAAGGGCCCAGCTCTTTGAGGAGAAGACAGATTTTCTCTCCACATCCTGAAGGATTCTTGGATCATGTTACACTTCTTAGGAATCTACACTGTGGGACGGAAGAGAAGATATACCTCTCAACCACACCACAGGTCACAATCTTCTCAATACCCACCATCTCAGTGCTGTCATGAGCCACAGTGTAAGAGGACCAGGGCTTAAAGTGGGAACAGGCTGCACCTCAGTCCGTGACCTCTCCAACTGTCTCTTATAAGCACTTTTGATGAGCTGGTCGAGTGCCTGAACAATGATACCTTACAGCATCATCTGCCATCTATACACCTGTCATGCCACTCAGAAGTCACCTTATCCTACTTCACAGCAGTTAGGACCAGCTCTAAACTAAGGAGATTGATTTCTAGCCCTGAACCTACAGGGTGCCTACTTCCATATCTCAATACACCCATTGTACAGGAGATTTCCTACTACTTACCTTTGGGGCAGGATCACTACCAGTATAGACTGCTCCACACAGGGTATTCTCCAAGGTTCTCTTCATTGTGGCAGCATACTAACCCCGGTACAGTGACTAGACTTTATCAGCAAACGGCCTTCCACAGAAATGACCTTCCACATCACTCTTTTGGGGCTAAGGGCTGTCAGGAGTGCCTGTGCACACTTTTTGTCTTTCATCGAAAACAACACACAAAGGTCAGGATGGAATTAATGTGACCTATATGTTTGTATAAACTGCCAAGGAGCTGCCAAATCTCCCTCCCTCTACAAGAGGGCACTCAAACTTTAGAATTGATGCACCCATCACAATGTGCTCATCTCAGCTGTCTATATACCAGGGATACAGAACATCACAGCCGACAGTAACAGTTGCCAATTTCTCATGACAATGAGTGTGTACTGAATTCAGAGGTGGTTCAAGATATATCCACCCTTTGGGGAACCCTGCCTATGGATCTCTTTGTTACTTAACGGAACAAGAAAGGTCCTTGTTACTGCTCCAGGGCTGGTCTGGGGAAACATTCACTGGCAGTTGCCCTCATCTTCCCACGGGACAGGGCCCACTTGTATGTCTTTCCCCAGTTTCCTACTCTAAGATTCTGTTGAAAATTCAATGAGACAAAGCGAGAGTTATTCTAATTGCCCCTCTTGACCATGACAAGTCTGGCTCCCTTACCTGACACAGATGGCAATGCCCTCCTGTTTCTCTTCAGCCCATCCCTCACCCGCTCTCTCAAATCAATGGGCTGACCCTTTACCCCAACCTTTGGGTCCTCCACCTCTAGGCTTGGCTCCTTCTTAGTTCCAAGGCTTAGAGGCAGAATGCTCTGACAAGCTGAAAGATGTGTTGCAACACAACCAAAAGTTAACCACTCAACATACTTATCTACAAGTTTGTGTCATTTCAAACACACAGACCCAACCTCATCTTTCCTCCCTCTGATTTTGCACTACATTTTAAACTTTCACTCAGCTCCCTTAAGGTTCATCTCGCGGTGAAATCAGCTTCCCACTTGGTGTTTGCTCACCCACTAATGCATAGATTCTTTAAGGGCATTGGGAATCTCTTCCCGTATGTGACACTACCCACTTCAGCCTGGGACTTTAACCTAGTTCTCAGGGCTTTGATTAGACCTCCCTGAGAGTCCAGGGCAACTTGTTCTCTCTTACACCTATCCATGAAAACAGCATTACTAATTGCCACACCATCAGCTAGGTACATAGGAGAAAAAGCGACCCTGATGGCACATCCATCGTTCAGGGCCTTTTTTTTTTTTTTTTTTAAAGACAATAACTCTAAGGCCATATCCCAAGTTTCTCCCTACATTCTCTGCACTTTCCATATGAATCAACAAATCCATCTCCCTGTTTTTTCCCAAAACCACATTGTGACAACTGGGAGATGATTATGCATATGCTAGATATTAGAAGGACATTAGCATTCTACTTGGACAGGACTAAGGACTTCAAGAAATCCCCTAAATTCTTCCTTTTGTCCACAGAAAGATCCAAAAGCTCTCTGATATTGGCTCAAAGACCATCCAAATGGGTCTCTAGCTGCATTAATCACTTATCAAGGGCGCAACTTGCTTCTGTCCAGAGTCATACCCACTCCACGAGGTCAGTTTCTACCTCAATCACATTCCGTAGGGATACCCCTATCTCAGCAATCTATAGAGCAACGACTTGGGCCTCTGCCCATACTTTCACAGAACATTATGCGATCACTGAAGATTTGGCTGTTGACACCATCTTCGACTCCACAGTACTTTCTGAGGTAAAAGATTCCACTCCGAAGTCCCAGCCTCCAGTGGTGGGTACTGCTCGGGAGTCACCTACAGCGGCACACCGATACGGACACTACTCGAAGAAAAAGAGAGTTACTCACCTTGTGCAGTAACGATGGTTCTTCAAGATGTGTGTCCCTATGGGTGCTCCACAACCCGCCCTCCTCCCTTCTACTTCGGAGTTCTCTATAGGGCTCTGTGGTAGAGAAGGAAGTGCGGGGGGTTCGCCTGTGCAGTGCTAAATAGCCGGGAGGGAGGGCAAATGCGCGGGGTCAACGGGACACTGCTACCAAAAATCTCCGATTAGAGGCGCGGGGTCACATATACACCTACAGTGGAGCACCCATAGGGACACACATCTCAAAGAACCATCGCTACTGCACAAGGTGAGTAACTTCCTCATATCCATGACAATGAAATAGGCCACAACTAAGAGAGCCAAAAGTATCAAGACAACTGGTTGGCCTGAGACAACGCACAGTGCCAAATTCCAGAAGAATCATAGTTCTTACAGCAATGGTTCTCAAACAAAGGTACACCTACCTATGGGTGTACGCAGAGGTCTTCCAGGGGATACATCAACTCATTTAGATATTTGCCTAGTTTTACAACAGGCTACATAAAAAGCCTAGTAAAGTCAGTACAAACTAAAATTTCATACACACAAAATGGGAAAGTAAGCAATTTCTCATTGTGTTGTGCCACTTTTGTATTTTTATGTCTGATTTTGTAAGCAAGCAGTTTTTAAGTGAGGTGAAACTTGGGATACGCAAGATAACAGTCTCCTGAAAGGAGTACAGTAGTATTGAAAGGTTGAGAACCACTGATTTACACCATATGGTGTGTCAAAGCTTTGATATTAAGATCAAGATAAGGCTGACAAAGCTGTTGGTGCCTAGTGCTTTTCAGGGCAGCATCAATATATATTATTTGTATTATTGTAGCAACTAGGAGCCATGGTCAAGAACCAAGACCACATTGTGCTAGGGTACATCTTTGAGAAAAATCTAAGAATTTTTTTATTGTCCTTTTGCTAACCCAAGATTTAACAAGTTATTGAGTATAGAAGGCCTTTGATTTAAAGAAAGAGGGAATAGTGAGGAAGCAGACTGACTGACTTTTGGCTTGGGGTACAGAGACAAAGCTTCCTACAAAAAAACTGATTAATATCCTTTTAGCTTCCTCCAAAGAGTGGTAAGCATCCCTTATCAACATGAAGATTTGTTATGGTAGGTTATTTCACTTTATTGTATAAAGTGGGATACAATATCAATAAAATGGGAAACTGAGTCAAAACACAGGTAGACATTCAGAAAACAAGAACAATGAAACATATCTATCATACAACACATTTCAAAATTACTAACACTTACCTCAGGCTTGTAATCATCTTCCCACCTAGAATAAAAAAGAAAGTTTCGTTGTTAAAGCAACAGCATAAAAGCCATTTTAAAAAGGATTTCGAATTTTTTTTTTATCTAGGCCATCCTGCACACAGATTTCAATTTCCCAAGTGACCTCAATTATTAATCAAGGCCTCCCACCAGATGGCATAGCTGTAGTACCACATTCAACGCTAGGATATAGGATTACAGTAAGGCAACCAGAAGAGTCCAGGAACACTTTCTACAGGGCTGTCAAGAGATTAAGAAAATTAATCGTGACTAATCACGCTGTTAAACAATAGAAAACTATTTATATAAGCATTGTTGGATGTTCTCCACATTTTCAAATATATTGATTTCAGTTACAAAACAGAATACAAAGTGTACAGTGCTCACTTTATTTTTTATTATAAATATTTGCACTGTAAAAATAAAAGAAATGGTATTTTTCAATTCACTTAATACAAGTACTGTAGTGCAATCTTTATCATGAAAGTTGAACTTACAAATGTAGAATTATATACAAAAAATAAAACAATGTGTTCAAAAATAAAACAATGTAAAATTTTGGATACTACACGTCCACTCAGTCCTACTTCTTGTTCAGCCAATCAGTCAGACAAACAAACTTGTTTACATTTGCAGGAGATAATGCTGCCCGCTTCTTGCGTACAATGTCACCTGAAAGTGAGAACAGGCATTCACATGGCACTGTTGTTGCTGGTGTTGCAAGATATTTACGTGCCAGATGCACTAAAGATTCGTATGCTCCTCCATGCTTCAACCACCATTCCAGAGGACATGCTTCCATGCTGATGATGGGCTCTGCTTGACAACGATCCAAAGCAGTGCAGAACACCACATGTTCATTTTCATCATCTGAGTCAGCTGCCACCAGCAGAAGGCTGATTTTCTTTTTTGGTGGTTTGGGTTCTTTTAGTTTCTGCACGGAGCGTTGCTCTTTTAAGATTTCTGTAAGCATGCTCCACACCCCATGCCAATCAGATTTTAGAAGGCACTTCAGATTCTTAAATCTTGGGTCAAGTGCTGTAGCTATCTTTAGAAATCTCACACTGGTACCTTCTTTTCGTTTTGTCAAATCTGCAGTGAAAGTGTTCTTAAAACAAACAACATGCTAGGTTATCATCCGAGACTGCTAGAACATGAAACATATTGCAGAATGCGGGTAAAACACAGAGCAGGAGACATACAATTCTCCAAGTTCAGTCTCAAATTTAATCAACGCATTTTTTTTTTAAACAAGCGTCATCAGCATGGAAACATGTCCTCTGAAATGGTGGCCAAAGCATGAAGGGGCATACGAATGTTTAGCATATCTGGCATGTAAACACCTTGCAACGTCTGCTACAAAAGTGCCATGCGAACGTCTGTTCTCACTTTCAGGTGGCATTGTAAATAAGAAGCGTGCAGCATTATCTCCTGTAAATGTAAACAAGTTTGTTTGTCTGACTGATTGGCTGAACAAGAAGTAGGACTGAGTGGACTTGTAGGCTCTAAAGTTTTACATTGTTTTGTGTTTGAGTGCAGTTATGTAACAAAAAAAATAAATCTACATTTGTAAACTGCACTTTCACAATAAAGAGATTGCACCATGGTACTTATATAAGGTGAATTGAAAAATACTATTTCTTTTATCATTTATACAGTGCAAATATTTGTAAAACAAATATACAGTGAGTACTGTACACTTTGTATTCTGTGTTGTAACTGAAATCAATATATTTGAAAATGTAGAAAAACATCCAAAATATCTAATACATTTCAGTTAGTATTCTATTGTTTAACAGTGCAATTAATCATGATTATTTTTCTACTATACAGACAATTAGTAACAAAGCTCCTTCACAGAACATCAGCTCCTTGAGAAGAAAAACGCTTTAATTATCTTGGTCATCTCCTTTGACTGTGTGCCACCTTTGCAACATTCTCAACCAATGCCAGCCCTGGGTGTGATGGACCATTTTGGGATATGATCTGAAGTTTCTCTCTATATAAATACATCATGCTGCCATTAAATGACTCAGCACGTGCAATACATCAGAAAGTCATAGTTATACATATACATATAAGATTAAAATAACAACCTATAACTCACTGATAATCAAAAAAGTTTTGTACAAGAGCAAAAACTGAACAAAGACAACAAAGACAAAAATGTAGGATTTTTTTCTAAAGACAAGTAGCAATGGTCTGAGATAAACAAAATAAGTGACCACTTAATCATTTCAAATGTATGGTGATGTGATGGTAATAAATGTATTCATGTGGGAGTTTACTGGAGGTTTCCTCACCTTGATTTTTTCTTTGATGATGAGGCTAGAAAAAAAACATTGGAAGCAGTCAGCAAGAGCATATGGTCATTATAGTATCAATGCAAACGGATCATAATACAAATTCCATATTTATCTACACTCCCAGCTCAGTTAAGAACAGAACTCTTCAGCACTGGCCCTGTTCATTATGCCAATGGATCTGATTAAATTTTGTCACCATCAGCCAAATTCACTTTCCCTCTTATCTAACTATTAGGCTATTAAAATGTACCAGGTACTGTCTGCCCCCAACTGGCATCATTCAGATTGTGTCACACCAAGATGTCCAAGATTATATAAATGTATTTGGATCAAATATTTATAGCTGACCTTTTTCATTACTAAGCTAATTTTAAAGATATAGTATTTGCAATATTCAGCTACACTTACATTCTAATGGGTCAGATTACTGTTAGCATACTGAAGCCAGTTCAGAGGTTCTATAAAGAACCCATAGTTTTTCTAGTGGAGGGCAGACTGTAGAGTACATAACCAGGTAGGCCCCCTTGTCCTGGTATAAATAGCAGTGTAAATAGTGAAGCGTGGCTTAGGCAAGTAAAGACACGCCTGAAGGACCAGGGTCTGAGTCCAAGTACATGCCCTACATGGCAGTCTACTTGCCCAAGCTGTGCCTCCCTGTCTACACTGCTATTTTTAACAGCATACAGTCACGTTGCCTCCCCAGTGCTAGAGAGCCTTCCCCTGCTGCAGGGAAAGACTCCAGCAGCAATGAAGAGCTCCAGTAGTGGGAAAAAGCCTCCACCCTGCCAGAGCCTCTCACTTACAGGTATAGCTATACACCGCACAGCTGGCTTTTCACTGCAGCGTATAGCTACACATATCCTAGACACTACTGCCGGCAGTGTGTGGTGTAGACATAGCCTCAGTTCAGTCAGGAAGGAGAAATTTATATCAACTTATTCCAAAACAATGACATAATACTGCATTTTTCACTGAAATACATTTTTCAGTTGAGTTAATGAGTACAATCACTACTAATTATGATCTTAAATAGCAGAGACAAGATGGGTGAGGTAATATTTTTTATTGAACCAACTTCTGTTGGTGAAAGACAAGCTTTCAAGTTTACGTAGCGCTCTTCTTCAGGTCTGCAAAATGTAAACAGATTGTTTAGCATAAGTAGCTAACACATAGTTCACATTATATCTTAGTTATGTGTTAGCTACTTATGTTAAACAATCTGTTCCACCTTGTATTTAGCTGTGACACACTGACTACATTTCCCAGACCTGAAGAGCTCTGTGTAACTAAAAAGCTTGCCTCTTTAACCAACAGAAGTTGGTTCAATAAAAAATATTACCTTACCCACCTTGTGTCTCTAATATCCTGGGACCAACACACATACAGCAACACTACATATCTTCAATACTGCCATATGCATTTGCAGTATTTTCAAAATGTTTCAGAAATGTGAAAAATATAACAAGATCCCTTTTTGCACATCTAATTAAAACACTGGAGGATTTAAAAACAGAAAATTATATGCATACCAAAGCTATTGCTCTAAAATTTTACATGTTTTAAGTAATCACTAACTTTTGCGGCTATCTGTAATCTCAAGTTAGGTTCAAATATTCATTATTTGAAGTTTTATTTAAAATATATTAAAATTATATTAATGTAATGTCACAAACTTACAAGATATACTGGGTCTTGTATAACCTTCAGTCTAGGAAGCAAAAACAGGCTTGTTTAGATTAGACGTCCTCGCTTACATATGAATTAATACTGGTTGTTTCCCCACAGTTCAAGTCCTCTGCCATGCCCAGCAGAAACTGGGGCCCCCAGAGAACCCATCTCACTATACTTTTATTTACCACTACCTATTGCACCACATAATTTTACATTTAACAAATGCTAAACATTACCAGGCAACCTTACAAATTAGCACTCGTTTTCTGAAAGAATCAAGTTTGAGATGCAAGAATTTCCTCAGGTCCTGAGGATTTCTAAAACATAAGCAATTTCAACCCTTTGCCACTATGAATCTTAATGTAATATACCCAACTTTTATCACTGAAAACAGGACTGGCTGGACAATTTCTGATCCTAAAAGTTCTAAATTTCTGTGAAAATAGCAACAAGTTTTTGGTGAAATTTTAAGGAATCCTCCTGATTTTTTGACCAGCATTAAGTGAAATACTGACTCAGGAAGATGTATGCTTTCTGAAAGCATTTTGTAAAATTAAACAGAGTTTACTACTTTTTAAAATTAAAAATTTAACATTGCCTAGTGTCTAGTTTGCCAGAACCTAGATACAGAACCAAAGAACAAATTTAGTTGCTAGTTTAAACTTATCCAATTTACCTTATAGATCTTTAAGCCTTCAGTCTTTTCTATCTCTCTTGCTATCCGTCTGAGAAATGAGACTTTGTCCTCTTTCACGCCTGGTGTGTTCTTCTTCATTTTATCTGGAAATTCTTTAGACTGTCAATGAAAAAAGGTTTGAGACCATTTCAATACTAAATTTGACGAGTCATGCATTTTGGAAAATTTTACAATACCTGTGGAGAAAACTAAGCAATAAGATTTTAGACATTATGGTCCTACATTTCCTCTAGCAGAATATAACTAATTGTGATTTAATATGATAAATTTTTATTAGTTTTCATCATTACAGAATTTTAACACTATACAGAACTCAGGTAAGACACTTGACAAAAGAAACATGCTTTGTACAATGTCCTAAAGGCAACCAGACTTGGGCTCTGATGGACTAAGAGAAGGAGTTGTTGTGACATGCTTCAGGAGTTTTACTAGAGAGACCTCAGCCTGCTTGGTCCCATGGCAAACACCACTAAAAATTCTTGAACCTTTATTGAAGATACGGAAAAGAAAAGTTTGAAATGTAGCGAATTAAGGCTTTCATTTTAACAGTATCCCTTACTCTTTTTCACTGTAACCATAGACAATTTTTCTATGAACCACCCCGGGTATTAAAGATGGGGAAAGAGGTACAGGGAGAAGAAAAGCAGTTGAGATGGGCTGGAGCTGCTGCTGTTGATCTTAAAATCTGATGCCATTTCCTTGAAGACAAACTAAGACAAGCACACATAAAAGAGGAAAGAAAATAATACAAAGGTAGAAAATGAAGCTTCTGTCTTTGGCGTTGATTCTTACTTGCAAATCTCACTACTAGAGAAACACAAGGCCAACACACAGTCTTATCAGCTATTCTGAAACTTGTACCAGCGTCGGGTTGTTTAGGGTTTTGCTTATAGCTGTCTCTCTGGTCCCAGGCTCATAACAGTACTGTAAAGGTGGAGTTGTCTTAGACAGATTCTTTTCAGAAAAAACGCAAAAAGTAACAGATGGGGAAAAAAAGATAGGGTGAAAAAGGAAAATGACACACATGGGAATGGGTTACAGCAGGAATGCAAGGCTCACACACCAGGGAGGCAGTGCTGGGGATTTAGCTGCTGTAGGTGACAATGTCATCTAGATCCCTTTCTCTGGCCCAGTCTGATCAGGACATTGATCAGAATCAGGCCTGTGATGGTCCAACAGTATCACAGTGGACCTGGACAACCCAGAAGATGTTGGAAGTAACAATCACAATGGCATAGATTGATCCGTTCAGGCCCTGGGTTCTCCAGCCATCTAATGTTAATTTGATCCTCCCCTAAGAGTCTTTTTTTTTTTTTTAAAGGATCGCAAAAGGAAGTGATGGACAGAATAACCCATCCCCTCATTAGATTCTCTATTAAACCTAGATTCCGACACACCAATTTTGGTCCATTTATTTCCAGTCTCACACTCCTCTTGGTTACCAGACATGATCTTACAGTCTTTGTGTTATATCAGCAGACTTTTTAAGACTACCCAGTCTTTGGTCTCCTTTACCCATTAAAATGTGTTATAAATTATTGAAATATTTTATTAATGTTTATCCACTTTCCTTGCAGCTGAGCTCACAACTGGGCAGTCCTGTCAGACCCAAATCACTACAATAGAGTCACTGGTGTATAAGAACTTACACCAGGGACTGAGAGCAAGACCATATTCAAGCAACAGAGAAGAGATTGTTTTAAAAACAACAACAACTGAGTGCTATATCACTTAAGGCTTTAAAAATCATAAGTTAACACACTTACACCCAGAAGCTAGTTTAGTATACAGATTTACTGATTACTCTTGGCAATCTGACCTGCTAAAATGACAAGTCTATTGGATTAAGAGAAGTCAAGAGATCTAACTGAATCAGGAACAACAAATGGGCTTTATCACCATTTGCCAATCATCTGAATACAACCTGTGCCATAATATACTCCATCGCAACTGATGGGGTTCAGAAAACCACAAGTCCGGATATACGGGGAGCTGCCCAAGGTTCTCAGTGACCATACCTTAACTAGTTACTGAGCAGATGACCAGCTGTTCTCTTCAGCCACCATTAGATAGCAATGACTTTTGGTCACTAGTGTAGCTGGACATAAAATGCTCCCTATCTCATTATAGCCTCTTGAGCAACCCTAATTACCACATGTCTAAACAACAAAAATGAAAATGTTGCCATATCTTCTCAATTCATCTATGCTTTGGATTCCTTAGTATTCTTCATATATTATTATTAGTTCATAATGAGGCCCCTAGGAGCTATCGCAGTATAAACAACTGTTTATACAAAAGAAAATAAATGGTGTAATAGAGTATTTAAGCACTGACTCAAATACATAAAATTTTACTTACAATATATGCTCTTCTGTGTTTATAGCCACTGAGATGTTCTATCATAGGTGCCATCTCCGTGTTAAATTCACATAGTTTGCATTCATAATGTGGCTCTCTCCTCCCTTCAAATCTGATTTCAACCACATGTTCTAAACCTATAAAATCAAAAGTTACAAGTACTTACATTTCTTTATACAGGCAATTATGAACAAATATATTCTTATTTCAGCTGTGTAGGGACAACCAATGACGAATCAATGATAAAAGATACTGATCCATTTTAGGTATTTCCTACATTTCCTCACAATCGCCCATTAAGGATTAGATTTCTTACTGGTAATATTTGTTAGTTCAAGTTTCTCTCTTCACCAGTACAGACTTTTCTCCGAGTAAAAGTTCTGTCCTTGGTAGACTGCCTGTCACAGAACTTCATATACCTAGAATCTTAAGAATATACAACCAGAAGAAAAAACAGAGGGTGCACACAAGCACATACTATAAAAGAATGTTAAGGTCAAGCACTCAAAAGTTAGGAAATGCAAGAATAAAGGTTTCCTGTGCAACCTTAATTCAGCCCCTTTATGCATGTCTATGCAGTCTTTAATTACATGACCTCCCATACTAATATTCCCACAGGATCCTTGCCTCATTCAATATACAGGATGGACCACAGTTCTGGGGATGAATCAGCATTGTGTAAACAGAAGACTCCTGTTTGTAGGATCCTGGGAGGTGTGTACTAAATGAGGCAGGAGATCACAGGAAGGGAAAGGTCTCATGGTAAAGGAACTGGAACACCATCCTGGAGATTTGGATTCTATCCCGGCCTCTGCCACAAATTCCTACGTGATGCTCAGCAGGTCACTTAAACCAAACTTCCCTTATGTGGTCAGTTATTTCTATACTTCATTTTTTGGGTGCCCAACTTGAAAACCTGAGTTCTGAATTGCAGAAGAGCTGAGGACTCACAGTTGCAACTGAACTCAATGGGAGCTGTGCTTAGAACCTGTACAGTGATATATAATACTAACTACTCTGAAAAAAAAAAAAAAAAGCCCATAAGTGTCTCAAATTGGGCACCCAAAATTAATGGACACTTTAGACCTTAATTTCTCTTAAGTTTTAGCTCCTCAGCTATAAAATGGGGATGATAATAATACATCCTACAGATGAGTGCTATAGAAAAGATTTCAGGAAATAATTCTGTTTTCACAGCAGGGATTGAAATAGTGAATGTGCAGTAAATAATGGTCTAGGCTCCCTATTGAACAAGAGGATAAAGCAAAATACCAAGAAGCTGCTCAATGAATGAGCACCATCCCATGGTCATGAGTAAAAAAATAGCATATCACATAGTTCAAGACTACGATAATGCATACGTATAAGGGGGACGAATTAAGGTTGCACTGGTAACCTGAATTCTTGCATTCCCTGAAACTGTCCCCAGGGTAGCTGGGTTTAGAGGTAGGTGAGACAGGAAATGATCTCTCAATCCCACTGTTTACAACAGTAGCTCAATTTAACTCCAACGCTGAACATTTATTCTATACCAATACCATATAAGGCAGCAGTAAGCCACCAGGCATAGTGGTACTTTTTGCAGGACTGACAATGGAGGTAACATATATTTTGCACAGCTCAAGAATTCTATTAAATCAGTTAAGAGCAGACCTTCTGTGGAGAAATAATGATCCAAACAGAGGAAACTTACTGCTTACAACAGAGCCCCTATTACTCAATTCAACGTACTCCTCAAAGAGGCTAGCACTTGCTAGGATCATGGAGGACATTGGCTAGCAGGAAATGATAAACTGATGAAGCTAAGCTCTGCTAAGGAAAAACCATCAAGTAGAGAAAAACGGTAGTATGTCCCAGTAGATTTAATATTCTCAGGAACATCATGAGGGTAAACAATCATACAGAAAATCCTGGGCCATCAGAAAAAACTTATGTCTGGCTTTTCTTCTGCAGAACAGAAAGAACAATGGCATGTGGAGTTCAATGTGTCCCTCTAGAAATGGAGTACTACGGGGATGAGATGCCAGATAATCTACCAGCCTCCCAGAGTAGGTAGACTGATGAAAGAAGTAACAGAATATTTGCTATTGGAGATCTTCCAAAAAGCATTAAATGTGGATAATATAAAAGTGATAAACAATGTCTAAAATATTACTTGACTTACACCAGTGATTAAAGCTCAAGCAAAGGGAAGTTGTCTGACCACAAACACAACATACCAACTAGCGGTTCCTCTCTTTTGGGATCTTTCATGAAATCTTTCAGACAGGTTATGTCCTTTGTAAGCTTCCGCTTAACTAGTGAAAACAAAATAGAAATACATATTAGACAGACAAATTACAATTACCGTAAGATACTGGGCATTTTGCACATAGTTTCATATGACTGAACTGACAAAATGAGTTGCTAGCCACGGTTTTTGAATGGTCAGAGTGAATTTTAGTTATGAAATATTGAAAAATATTAGTTTACAATGGAAACCGATTTCCCTTATTAGCAGTGTTCAAATGCACAGTCTATAAAAAAAATCAAAATAATTTGTATTAGTCATCCAGACTTATCCTGGCATCCCATTTTGTGCCTGAAAAAATGGGAGTTCAATATAGGTAACGGACACATCCAAGTTAATGATTTGCAGACAAAGTTAAACAGACACATTGGCATTCACAAAATTCTTCAGCCAAGTCAAAGCACCTGTAAAGGGCTTTTAAGAAGCTTAGATTTAGATTTCATCAAGCTAAGATGTTAGGGATAGAATCCCAATTCCTAGCAAAGGAAGACCTCAGTATTTTTCACACTAACTTCACTTAGGATTCATTAGGGTTACCATAAGTCCGTATTTCCCCGGACACGTCCAGCTTTGTGGTTCTTAAATCGCCATCCGGGAGGAATTTTTAAATATCTAAAAACGTCCGGGATTTTGCCATTATTATTTTTCCCCAAAGAAGAGCTGGTCATTCAAGACACAGGCGAAGAGTTAGCACCGCCCACCCGGGGAGATCAGCTGTTGGCAACTGCCAATCAGCTATTTAGCATGCGCAGCAGCCCTCAGCATGTGCTGCAGCCAATCAGCTGTTTGGCGTGAAGTCCCTGCCTATCAGCTGTTTCCCCTGCAGCTGCTGAAGCTCAGAGGCTGCAGGCAGATGTGAGTCCTTCTAATTTTCAGAGCAGAGGGAGCTGGGTTAGGGGTGACAAGCAGCCAGGGCACGGCAGCTTCTGGGCTAGCTGTGGAGGGGTGGGAGAGATGGGGTGGGAAGCCTCTCTGCAGGGGGTTGTGGGGAGATGGGCTGGCAGCTTCTCGGCTGGCTCCAGGGGCCTGCTGGGGGGAGTACGGGCCAAGGGCTTTCTCAAGGACTGAGCCATCCATTCTCAGCCCACCCCGGTGTTTCCCCCAGGACCTGTGCTCCCCCTCCAGCCAGGAGAAACCAGCTGCGTACCCACTTAGTGCTGGGCAGGGAGACAAACCAAAGGACATGGCTCCTTTAAGAAAAGTTTGCCCTTGTGTCTAATGAGTGAACTTGGCTGGGGCGAGCAGCTCGCCCCCTCCCCCTCCTTCACCTGTCCAGAGGGGCTTCACTGAAGCCCCAGCCCCAGTTGCAAATGAGCAGCCTCCCCAAGCCTGGGCCCTGCCTGAGCCCAGACCCCTCCCATGCGGGCTCTGGGAGCTCCCAAACCCCTACGGTTCTGACCCAGGTCCCGGGGCTGCACATCCCTTTCCCATGCGTGAGGAGTCAGGAGGGGGCAACATACCACCAGTACTTCTAGCCTCAAGCTCCCCGTGGAAGCTGTCTTCCCCCTCCCACACACCCAGATCAAGCCTGCCCAAGTGGCTTTGCCTCCCAGAGAGGAAGTTTATCCCCTCCTCCCCACGTGAGGAAGGATTGATTCCCTTCCCCTGGATCCACCCTCCCTGCCCAGCTCCCAGGGAATTCCTTCCCTTGCATCCACCCCCCTGTATCAGCTTCAAGTCAGGAAGACGCTGCCTTGCTTCACCTTGGGACACCTGAGCTCCTCTTTCTTCAGGATGCTGGGCTGCTGCAGCCCAGTGGAAGAAGCAACCGCCCCTCCTCCCCCGCCTTTGGCCATGGTCCCACCGGGGCCCCCCTCCCACAAAAGTTGTAGAGTGTGTGAGCGAGTCAGTGAGCGAGCTTCGAAGTGGGGGTGGGCTGCAGCCCTGGAGATTGGGACGAGCTGGAGTGATACAGCAACCACACAGCAGGATGAATGAAGGGGCCACTTCTTTGCTGGGCTGTTGAATTAAATTTCTCTCTGTGTCAGGGCGTGTAGTTTCTGGGCTGGCCGCAGGGGGTGCGGTTCAGGGGAGACAGAGCTGCTTTGAGTGCATGGGTGAGAGGAAAGGACTCACTACATATAAAGTAGTACAGTGAACTTTAAATAATTAAATTTCACTTTTGAGGCCACAGCACTTTTTCTTATATATACTCAATATAGAAGACATGTAGTGCACAGTATATATAGCAGTATAACACCACATTAATACAACGTGAGTTGGTAGATACTGGTGAAAATACACCGGTGGCGTGTCCTCTTTTTTGAACGTTCAGATATGGTAACCCTAGATTCATAAAACTATTCAGGAAAGGATCAAAATAATCCAACAGTTACTCTGTCCTGGATATGTTGGCCTGAGAAAATATCCTCAAGCAGTGCTTACATATGCAACCATTTTAGGAAGATGCCTGTATTAAACATCCTTGCGTAATAAAAAACATATACGATAATACTTGAACAAAAAACAGTGCTCCAGTAGTACATTCAGGATCTGCTGGACAGAGATTAAGATCAGGATTCAAACTGATCCTCCTAAAATCAACACAACGTGCTGTCACTAGACTAAGGTTTTGTTTGCTCATTTGAGAGATTTACATCTGAGTAACTGCATGATGCGAGTACTTGCCACAATGAAAAAATATTAAAAAGCAAAGGTATCAAAGCCACATTTAAAATATTTTCTCTTCTTTGCTGACATTATGCACCTCCTTAATAGAGTCAGTTTCCATAGTTTACTCAAAATTACTACAAAATCCAGTTTTTGTTAATTTTATGGGGTTACAGTGAAACAATTGGTGAATCAGGCATCCACAGGGTGGATTTATTTATATCATCACATTTTTCATTTGTACTTTTTAGTTCTTTTCCTAAAGAAAAGTTCAATCTCATTGATTGGTAACCATTAAAACATGTGGATTTGCAACTACATATGGCTTTTATGTTAAATTTGGTGCTTCTTTTTGCTACCCAGGAGAATACACTATACTTATAAACCTTTATTTACGCAGTTACATAGATTAATTTACATTTATTCAGATTCAATTTTTACATTTTTTATGTTAGAAAATAATGAATGATGCATTTCTTTTTAATAGATTTACTTTTTACTTGTGATTTGTGTCAAGCTCTATTTGGAAGGAAATTCAAATTCAGTTAAAAATGCACAAAACCAAAAATTAAATTTTGATTAAATATAACTACCTTTGAAAGTGCTGGATACATGAGAAAAAAGTTCTTCAAAAGACATACTGACTTTAAAAACTGATTTATTACACAAAGGAAGTATTATCTGTAGTTGGTGAATTGAACTGATTGTTTCCGGTAACGATGTCCTTTGAGATTTTAGAACTAGTAGATCTCACACCTAGTTTTTATTCATAGAGTGGAAGAGGAAAACAAGCTTTCCTGCTTCTTCAGGATCTTTTTTTTTTTGGGGTCACTCAACTAGATGAATAAACGGATGTTTAGAAAATATTCTGACCCCCAGAAGTGGCTACTGATGTCAAAATCTGGTTTAGCACTCAAACTCTAGTTCACGGTGTTTAAACTGTGACTTCCACCAGTTTAGTGGTTTGTCTTTCTTTAAAGCTTGTCAGCAAATGTGTATTAGACACTTTTTGTATTTAATTATTTTAATAATTTAGGCCTTAGCATAGGCTGTCAATTTTAAATTTAATTTTACATGTTTATATTAAAAAATAAACTTGTATTTAGTTTAAATTAAAAAATTCAAATTTAATTAAAAAATCCAACATTTTTTATTTAATAAAACCATAGGTTTTTTAAAAATCTACCCTGGGCACTTGGACTAAACTAATCATAAAGAAAGCTACTTCCTTCAAATCTCAGGAAAGTAAAACAGTATTACAATAGCGGTAGTTTAGTAAATGCTATTTTCCCCACCCCAAGGATGCCAGAACAGAGTCATGATTAAAGGTACGTAAACAGAAAATGGGATTAAAAAAAACCAAAACATCTTCTTAACTCCATTACAGGCATGGATTATCTGTGCCAACAGAAACAAAATCCAGGCTCAGGTAAGAGAAAGTTTTACCAAACTTTCACACATCTGCTGGAGGATTCATAAGCTAAAAGTCATGCTCTGTATCACAGGTTGCAAGAACATCCCAGATTTGACAAGGTTTCCTTCAATCAAAAGTCTCATATTTTGCTATGTTTTTCAGAAATTCTTAAACTGAAGAAGTTAGCCATTGCATGAAGCACTGATGGTCAAAATTTTTGATAACTCCACTTGTGCACTGTCTCTTCCTAAAACTTAAGACTATCTTCATGAAGTTTGGACTCTGACCATCGAAACAAAAATTTTGTTTTCTAGAAGGGCAACTCAAAGGGTCTTATGGGGGGCCGCGGGCAGGTTTCAGGGGGTCCACCAAGCAGGGCCAGCATTTGACTTGCTGGGGCCCAGGGCAGAAAGCTGAAGACCCACCATATGGGGCTGAAATCCAGGGCCCTGAGCAACTTAAATACGTGGGATACCCTATGGCGTGGGGCCTCTGGCAATTGCCCTGCTTGCTACCCCCCACCCTGACCCTGGCTTTCACATGCAGAAAAACTCTTCTTGTGGCACGGATGGGCCATGCAGTTTTTAGAGCATGTTGGGAGGGCCTCAAAAAGAAAAAGGTTGAGAAACCCTGGTGTAACATGTTGAATTTATTCATTTATATTCAGTTTTCTTACCTGGTCTCTGTGTTTCATATATCACCGGCACGGGAGCACCTAAGATAACATTTTGACGGTTATTTGTCTTTCTCCGCATAGCAGAACAGACACAGAAAATAAAATTGGTTTAAAGCGATGTCTCTCTTATTCTATGTACCTAATGTTTTCAATTTAACCTCACTAACAATATTTTTCCACCTGAGTATTTGATTTTTTTGGTTTTGTATCTTTTCAGTTAGTATTTTTATTAACAATTTTTTTTAAAAAAGCGTTCACCTACAAATTTCATTGCTTCCCCTACCAGGCAAAACACCAAGTATGGATCACAGAAATATTGACTAAAACATTTATTTGGAAGTTTAACTACAAAAATTATTTAATCTATGTTACTCCTATTCCAGTTATTTTCCTTATTTAATATTTATTATGGTAGCTTTGAAAAACCACAACTGGGATCAAAGCCCCACTGTACTAGATACAGTACTAAAAGGAGAGTCTACACAGTTTACAATATAATCTTTTAGGTCCAGAAGCAGTTAGGTCCTGATATTGTCCATGATGGGGAGACCCCTTGTACTCATGGGAAACCCCATGCAGGTTCCCAAGTCTATCCCGTAGAACTGATTACCCAATCAGGCCCTTACAGGGCCTTTTCAGATATTTTCACGCTTGGTAGTGTTACTTTTGCACAGTTACTTTCCCCCTTCCTGTGCCCCTCACCCAGTCCTCCACACGCTCAGATGTGCCCATATAAATACCCAGTATAAAGCTAATTTATGGCACACATTCAAAAATTTTTAAAAAGCCCTAAGAAAACTATCTGATAAAGTTCAATATGCGGTATTAAAATACCCTTTTGCAGAAAATATTAAAAGTTCAACCTAGATTATAAAGCTCCTGGGGCAAGTGTCTGCCTTAAAATTGATGTAAAATACCATATTAATTTTTATGTTACCATAGGTTTATACCACACTAATGAAGCTAAGGGAACCCTGGGCTGTGAGCAGTACTGGTTCTCTTTGACATCTGTACCAGATAAGTATTTCAAGAGAAGATTATAGTGGATTACAATATCAAACTTATGTAAATTTGATGCCCATTTCAAGACACTGTGCTAGTGTTTAAATTTAACAAAAGGAAAAAAGGTTTTAACCAGATTTCTTCTTAGAATAATCAGGTCTCCCATTTGACCGAGTCAACCACACCCCTAAACCATCTGTCAATGAAATGGTCATTTGACTTGGTAATCCTGGTCTCTGGGCAAAGTCCCAGGGCCAAGTCCCAAAAAATATTTCCAAGGTGCTAAGTTATAACAAAACTAAAAAAAGATTTAGAAAGGGAACATACTATATTTCAAGTTGTCCTTTCATCAAGTATCACTGATCACCTGAGATCCAATTTAGGTTTCTTTAAAGAAATCCTTCAATATTTTATGGCCATATAGGTCAACACAATTAGCTTGACAAACTAGTCAAGAACAATTTTTCCTCTTGAGTGCAATTATCTCCACTATGCCTCAGGGGAGAAAGCTTACCAGCTATGTGCAACAAGTGAGATTAAAAAGCTACTAAAGATAACCCAACACCACACTATTGAGTTACCTTATATATTTCTTTTCAGGGACAAAGGAGGGCAATTTGTCCTGGGAAACTGAAACAACCCTGTTCTAGGATCTAGCTCTTTACCGTCATGCTACCTTAAAGATGTGCACTATGGAAGCCTTTGGTGTTTCCCCTCTCCCCCACTCCATCCCCCCCCCCGCTTTTTGTTTGCTGTATGATAATGAATAAACTCTCTGATCCTTGGCTCACCTAAGACACTGATTGAATCTTACATCCCACTCATTTCAAGCCTTTTCCATACAATCTGGTTTAACCTGAGTTTACTTTAGGAATGAAGACCGGATCCTTTGAATGCATCTAATCTTTGTGAAAAGAGCACAAATGTTTTGATCATACTTCAAGGACCACGGATGATGGATGTAGCATAAACAACAGACAGACAGGTTCAAAGTCTCTCCTGCAGAGCGGATGTCCAAAAGTAAGCCTTATTTTATATAACCAGGAAGTAGGAAGGGTATGGAATTGAGAATACAGTGCCGATACCTAGTATTTATATTCCAGGTCTGACATTTATATGCTGATATGGACTGACAAGTGGTGCTTCTGTAAGAAATGTGTGTGTGTATATTGTAGGGAAACCTGGTTTATTCTTTTCTATTTATTGGAAGCAAGCCAGATCCTGGAGTAAATTCAGTTTGTAGATTTCATTTCTGGAAGTTGGGAAAGTTTAAACTGCTTGAAAAGCAGGCCTCTCAATTAGTGATTTTGTCTCATTACCCAGACTGAGGTCTGAGTGCAAGTCTGAACAACTGTTCAGCAAATCTCTTCAGCTGAAGGTACAGGCACTGAAAACTAGTGTCTTCTTGACCACTGTGGAACAATTATTAATATTGATCATAATTTATTTTCTGTATCATTCTCTAGGACAGATAAAATCAGGAAGAGATAGCCAACACTTTCATAACATCATTGCCATGGCTTCCACTTCTTTGAGGTAGAACATATCTTGGAATTCTTCTGACTAACAGGGATACCAGGAGGACACCAAACTCCTCTGAAGACTTAGATATGAGAATAAATCATCCACTCAATCTACTCTCTGCTGACTAGCTCAAGCTCACCACTCTGAAAGTTGTGCGCCTTTTACTGAACGTTGCACATCAGTAAGACTCTTCTCTACAGAACAAGAGGATGGATTCTTTGTGAAGACTGGTGCTTCTCATCCCTTCTTGTCTGTTGACATAACAGTCAGGATTATAGCCAGGAAACTCATATGAACATGTGTCCATGCAGAGTGTCTACACTGAACACACATATTCTTAGGAGCTTGCGTCTTCATGGATACTGGAGTGCTGAGTACGTAGGCTACTAACAGAATATTTTTGCTATTTTTGTTCAAAAATGCACTCTTCTCTGCCACAATCCTCTCTACCCACCACTCTAATACTATATAACACGTGTAAAGTTGTTTTCAAAGTTGCCATTGTTAATTTCCAGTTTTATATAACAATTACTAAAAACTGAAATTTTGAAAAACGCACATGATATAAAAAGGACTTAGCTGACCTACATCAGGAGACATCACTACATCAGGAGAGTTTCAGATACTCATGCTATCCCAGAATGATATGTTTTGTACTGTCTGAAGCAAACAAAAGTAGTCAGAGGTTTTTAAAACCTTCACCTTTTTCCTATGGTAAATGCTCCTTCACAGGCGGAAGTTTCAAATGACTTGGATTTTTCATCTTCCCCAGAGTCACTTAAATTAAATCACAAGTATGTCACACTTCAATACTGCAAGTTGAAACACAGAGGTCTTTAAAACCACAATCAAAGGACTCAAAAAGCAGAAGGAAAACAGGTTCTCTTAATTGAAGAGCCACACACAGCGTATAACTTGGGATAACTGTCCAAGAATGGACTGTAATAGAGTTACAGTAGAAACTCATTCATTTCCAATCAAAACTGGAAGACCTACCACAGTTTACAAAATTTGTGAATTAAAACAAATAAAATTAAAAATATTCTAGGATGCTCTAAGATTTTATTCCTCCATTTAAAAAAGCATCATTATAGTATTTAAGATATTAGACTGTATACTAATAATGTGACAAAAGTAATGACATCTTAGTGGTGGGTCTGCTACTAAGTCTTAAAAACTGGTGTTTTGTCCCATTTCAAAATTTGTAAATCTTCCTTTGTTATTAGCAAGGCACTAGCTATATAAGTCTGACATTCCTGTTAACTTGTACATACACAAAGTTATGTATTTCTTCTACGTTCACACATACTTTGTGCAGAAGAGGGAGAAGAGGACCACAAAAACTGTTTAAGAGTAGGATATATGAAGAGTCAGAAGCTCTCAAGCTGTGATCCATAGAACAGTGTGATCAGACAGACTGCCATCTAAGTCTAACTTGTAGCTTCATAGACACTAAGGTCAGAAGGGACCATTATGATCATCTAGTCTGACATCCTGCACAACGCAGGCCACAGAATCTCACCCACCCACTTGTTCCCATCTGCTAAACCACTTAAAGAAAAGCTAAAAATACTTTACTTTCTTACTATTATTTTTCAAACAAGACACTACAGTAGTGGCCACAGGCTTGCTAAATGATCGTGAATGGGAAGGAACATCATGGTATGTGTGTAATCATGAGTGGAATAGGAGTTGTTCACAAGACTCTATTAAAGAGTAGTACACACAGTGACAAAGAAGTCTGATTTTCCTTTGAACGTTTAAGTAGATACTCTTGTGATATTTCTGAACAATTTAAGACTATAGATATCCTTTGACCCAGATGCCTCCTCACCAAGCGTGAAAAGGTCCTTATGTGAAATTTACATATGGCAATGCTTAATTACAGTTTCAAGGGAGGTAAGAATTAAACTATCCCAGAACTGAAATATGGCTTTTATTAGGATACCAAAACCCATTTAAGCTCACAGCATATCACTGAAAAAAGTAGCATAAATTCACCTGAAGACAGATATGGCTACTTCAGTTTTTACTGCATGAACACAAATTAAAATAAAAAACTGTTTCCTATACCCATTTTCATCAGTGTCATTATCTGGTAGTCCTTACTTTCATGGTATCAAAGACGCAAGCTGATTCACTAAGCATGAATTTTTTCTGTCATAATGCTAAAATGTATTGAACAGATTTGCAAAATATGCAAAACCACCACAAAATGCAGCAAGTGCTAACGCTAGCTGAAATATTGAACAAGTAATTTTATCATTTAAAAATTACAATTTGATAGCACCTATGGAAGCTTGAAGGGAAGAAGAAAAATGTCATACTTACGATAAGCATTCATGGCTCTCTCTTTCTTTAAATATGAAGATGCAAGTCATCCCAAAATAAAATAAGAAAAAAATCATTAATGTGTTAGACCATTTAAAAGAAAAAATGTACTTTCTTAATGCAGCTTTTGCAGATGAACTACAATGAAGGCCAACTTTTCCATTTTTACATAGTAAAAAGTATACAGCCTTTATGATTTTCTGCAAAAGCTGGAAGTGCTGACAAAGAAGTGCTGATAACAATTAATACCAGAAGGTTAACATAAAGACAACCCTGGTATTACTTGAAGGAAAGGGATCAATTCTTAAAGATGATTAAGGCTTGACAGACTGATCTCAGGGATGCCACACAAAACCTTGATTTTTGCATGTTTGCAGCTCCTAAAATTTTAAGAGCTGTAGTTCCAAAAATCAACATTTTGGGCTAATTTGGCAAAATCCTCTGGCTAGCCAAAATTTCCTAAAGCTCTGATACAACATGAAGAACAGGCAAAGCAGTTTTCATCAACTGAATCCATCACAAGTGGTTTTTTGGGAGTAGATGGAAGAAGAGGAATTGAAATTTCCAATTCAAGATATGGATAAGACTAAATATTGACTTGTTCCTAGGTCTTTCCAGGTAATAAACACACAAAGAAACAAGTTACTATTGATATTCTAACTCACCAATTTGAGAAATGAACCAATTCAACATATGTCAATGGTGCAGTTGTTTGTTGACAGCATTCCAAAAAGAGGAAGAGTTTGAATGGCACATCTGAAATATTCAGTGCCACAGAGCAGATGCTGCAAGTCATTTCAACAATTCAATAAGAGATTTTCTAATTGACACAAATAGTTAGAGGATTTGGTAAAGAAACCAAAATACTGCCACAAAAGAAAACAATGAGAGAGGCAGTACCACTGCAGACAATGCAGCTTAAGCTCAACAGCATTTTAAAAACTTAGAATCTGGGCTTTAAGAATAAGTCTCCCATCTAGCTATAGAGACACAGGAATTATTACAGATAAGACCATTCTAGTCTGGTGTCTTGTGCCTGAGAGTTGCTAGTACCCGAAGTTTCAGAGGAAGGTGGAAAATGCATGTTCCCAATTGCATACTGCTATACATGGGGAGGATTTCTTCTGGGTCATTTCTGGGCAGTCAGCTTATGCCCTTGATTGCGTTTCGATTATTGTTTTCATTAACATCAGTGAAGTGACTCCACAGTTGAGGTTGAGAGATCCATTCTATTTCTGACCCCTTTTAAAAAGCTGCGTTGGGACTGAAAATTCTCATGCTAAAATCTCAGGCCACAGGTGAAATTTCTTACAGGAAGCTGGAAATAAATTGCTCCAGCTGTTTTTGAGTTATAGGGCTCTGAGAAGTTAGTGTTTGATTTTTAACAAAGTATCTAACTTTGAGAAGCCATAACTCAAAAACTGCTGCTTTTTAGGGTTCAAACCTCCCATGCACTTTGTCCACCACAGTGCATAGGCTAGTTTTTACGGTTTACAAATTCACTTACAAAACATTTTGTTCCATGCACATAAGTAGACAAATCGTATCTCTTTATTTAAATCTTACTAAATATGCACACTTTAAATGACCTCACAGCAAGATATCAGAAATCAATATATGGAAAGTCTTCACATTCCAGTTATTTAAGGACTCCTCCATAATAACCCTGAGGTTTTCCATGAAAGTGAAGCTTTCTTTAACAGAAATTTCTAAGCACTTCTGGTTGTGCAGATAACTTTCAGAGCATAAGAGGATACAGTGTTGCTTGGAATAAAATGCAACAATAGCACCAGAATAGAAGCGTAAATTTCCCCAAGTTCATTTCAATGGGGGTAGTAAACTGAGGTCTAACAACGCTGGTATTTAAGTTACCAACTGTTTCATCACTATCAGTGTCATTGACAACATCTGATTAATATGCTTATCCAGTGTCCTTGGTTTCATTTGGAAGGCCATCCCAAAGGAAATGAAGTTGTGATTGCAAATATCAAATATGCAAACATGTTCTGAAGTTTGATAATTCTGGTCTTCACCAACAAGATTTCCTCCTCCTCCCCCCTGCTCTATCTTTTCCACCACTGTGAGAACTGCCCTGATAGAGACAAGGAAGTTCTGGTTTCATAGTGGCAGCAGAGTCTTGAACCCCAGAGGTTCTCTCTCTTTAGGAAGAGGGGAGACATTTGCATTTGGCTCCCCATTCTCTGGGTCAATGGGGGGAGATGGAAGAAAGGAATTCCACAATCCCACTGAGACTCCTCGATGGATGAAGGTAGCTCGACATGTGCAATTTGTAACATGTACACAGAGAGGAGGAAACCACCTCTAGGGATGGAGTGAGAGTGGCCTCTTTATCTGTACTCCAGAGAGGGGTCCCAGAGCAGGGGGACACCATTTCTCTCACACAGTTGCACACCTAACATCGACTACCCCTAGAGCAGGTGAAGAAATGGCAGACAACACTCTAGGACTCCATCCCCAGAGAGGCAGACAGGCAATAAAAGAGAACTGGTCCTTGCTCAGACATGATGCACTACATCTTTTGAGCATATACATACTGCATGTGAAGACCACCACTGCCTCCCCTTTCTATCTGGAGAAGACTCCCTCAAGGTCCTGACCCCTCTCCTTCAGCTGTCAGATGCTGCCATCAAGTACCCCACTGTTTTCTAGGCTTGTTACAAAGGAAAGTGTTAGTAAACAGGTATAAATCACAGTATATTTTTGAACCAGGTTAATATAATGGCCAAGATCACAATGATTCAATTATTCTTGAAAGCATAAGACTTAAATATAACCATGCATAAAGGCGGCTATAATCAAGTCTCCTTTCTGAAAGTGTCATGCTGCATTAAACCCATGTTTATAATTTACCTGTTTAGTCATTGCTTTTTCATTAATCCACACAACAGAAAGAAAACCAATGGTATGTATCTGTATGACGATTGTTAATTTATTCATTCTGGAAAACTTGCACAACCACCCTTGGCTTTTGGCCATCCCAATCTCACACACAACTTTTACACCACCATATGCCAGGCGAACCTGATCTCATGAACCACTAAAGCTAGATATAGTTACTTTGTCACTTTAGAAAGCTTGGAATCTCAGAAAGCCTTGTTTTTAGCCCTGGCTATTAGTAAGATATCTTTCTTATCTTTTACCTCCTGTCTTAGATCAGTGCCGTCTAAAGGGTAAACTTAAAATATGGTTCTACTGAACCACCTTTGTTTGCAGGTTTTTATACTGGACATTTTTTTTTAATTTTGAAAAAAATAAAGTAATTTGAACACTGTACCTGACTTAGAATGTTACAAGTAATAATGTAGAGATGGATAATCAAGCAGAGTTCAAGACTGGTTCAAAACTGCAGGTCATGGATGTGATACAAAATAAAGGTACTTTTCACAAGAAACTAAGTATTTCCTAATTTATTTATAATTTTCAATTCATGTGAAAAACTAAGCTTTTTAGTTTTTTAGAACTTGGAAACTTCTACATTTAAACATATGTACATACCAAGATACTAGAAAGTTAATTTTGTTTTAATAATCCAAGAACTGACTGCACCCAACACGATATTAACAGTAACTTCAAAACACGATTAACTAAACTTCTTCAATAAAAATAGAATATATCACTATTATATAGTGTGGACAAAGGCAAGGTGGAGGATGTTTTGTTGAACACTTTGTTGGAGGTTACATTCAACCGCATCTCTGCTTCTAAAATGAGCAATTTACCTGCTAATCTGTTTTTTCCAAGTTCCACAATATGCCAGTCTAGACAGACGATAAGAGGCTCCAAACAGCGAAGAGAGCCAGAAAATAAAATTAAAATCCATAGAACTTCACTCACTTATAAATGTGCAGGCTTAGTTGAATGTGCCAAGTTGTAAACTTCCCAAACAAGAGTGAAGTAGTTCCATGCAGTAGAGAGTCTGAATTTATTTTAACGTGAGTGTACCATGTGAAAACTGCAGCAAAGCACAGATGATTTACACAGCTCTAAAAAGGGTGAGAAAGCATTTCCCTTTTGAAACAGAAGGCAACCATGCTCCAAAAGAGACTCTCTAGCTACTATGTGACAGCAGTCTTCCTTAAAGCACTCCATCACTCAATGGTCTGTAGAATCCTTAAAGGCTTGTGAATCTCTAGACATACTGTTAAACAGGTTCTTTCAGGTAGAGGGGCAATGCACTCCTCCCAACTTCAGTGGAGAAGAGCTTCATTTATTTCAGAGGGACTGACACATAACAAGGGCAGGGAAACCATTTGAGATGTAGATGTGAGACATCAGTTTATGAAACTAATGAGTTATGACAACCACCTTATTTTTGATTGAACCTCCAGGAAGAGGTAGAGTCTGAATGACCCATCTGACCAAGCAAAGGGGAAATAAATAAACAGCGATTGAGAAGGTCACTAGAAAGTTTATCATCACTAAGCGTTCAAAGGGTGGGCCTCTGAAGGTGTTAAGAACTAGACTGAAGTTCAAAGTGACAGGAAGGAGGGGAGTACAACTGAGTTTTTGCTTCTGCTTTTCCACAGTTTCAAAGTCTATCTTGAGGTGGGACTCACTTTGCTACAGAAGGGTTCCAAATAGTACACTGAAGCTGTAGTGATCCAAAACTCAGGACTTTGGGCAATCCAGCCTAAAGTAACCCAAGGAATTGTTGTCTCTAAATGCACTTAGCTGCCTCTCTTTGCACGAGTCCCAACACTAATAAATTGCAGAAGCAGCCTTCTGCATCGCTTGGTCAGAGAAGCCCTTTCCCCCTCATTTGTAATCCACTCAAAGAGTCAGAATGACAAACATATGAGTCCTCATGAAGTAGCAACACTAGAACAATAGATTGTGTCTGAAAGGAAGGAACAACTTTGACAGTGACATTGAGATTTGGACAAATTTGAGAGAGAGAGATTCAGCCACTCTAAGAGCTTTTCCTAGATCAGTCCAAGTCTACAATAATGACCTTCTATTCAACCCCATCTATTTTCTGCAGAGTCCTGTCAATCACTTGCAAAA